CGACAAGATGAATCAGCCCCCAGGCACGGAATGCTCGGTATTTCCCCAGCCCATTGAATTTTTTTTAATTTTCTTTTCCCCCTCGCACAAGTCACCGAGAGAGGAGCCTATCTTTTATTTCGCCCCCGTTGTTATCAACTATGGAGCCGCCGCCGGTCAAGTTTGATGGAGTTCCCGGGCCGACCGGGGGGCAAGGGCTTTTCCCATTGCTCATTTTGCTGGCGAATCGCCGAGGTTCTATTTCCCATCCCGACCAACAAGGTACTACGGAGTCGGCCCATTTGGAGAAGCCTCGCCGTTGCGTTGGACATGGGGGGACAATTCTATATCTTGTAAAACTATTGCCAGAGACAGGAGAAAGGGCCGTTTCACGCTTTTCTTTTCGCCGATTCCTGCAACCCGGTCTTGTGCGGCTCTGTATGCGGCTCTGCACAATGAATGGTGGAGATGGCAAAAGTCAGTCACTGGGGCCGTTTGAATTTTTCTCTGTGCATGTATTGATCGAGGACCAGTGGTCCACCAAGGGACAACCCCCAAAAACTACGACCAAAATGCTCTGCCCAAGCGAAGTAACTGACCATACCAAGTTCCCATCGCAACGGCGCCTTCTATTCTTGTCTTGACTGGGCAGTGCATGCTATGGAGCTTGGTTGCTGATTCTAGAATCGGCATCGGCTTCCCAGGAACCATCAACCGGAGATCAACAGGTTGCTGCGCCGGCCCCTCGAGTCAGGCCTCGCTCCATAATAGCGACGAATTCTGCACCGGGAGAGGGTACCAGAAATGGGCAGCAACCACTGGGTTGGGAAAAAGTCACTCAAGAAGAAAACTCCATCGAATCCATTGAATACTGGTTCGAGGTGGAGTAGCCGTACTCCATAATGAGTCGCCATGACAGCTTTGTTGCCGACGGGCTCCGCTGTCAACTTCGGATGTTATAAATGCAAGAAATTAAATATATTCAGTAAAGAATTAAGAATTAAAGAATTAAATAAAAATGCATTACAATTCCGTGATTTTCTCCTTGCTGATGAGATTCTACCAGACATCGATTCGTTGACGACTCCATTAAATCCAAGCCCTGTAACTCGTCTACTACAGTTTTCGTTTGTCCATCTGCCTAGTGCTCTTTTCTTCCTTGTCGGAATGGATTCCGGCCTTTGTCATTGGACATTCCTCTAACTATCAATAGACAATAATGCGATAAATTATTTGACCTGGCAGAGCGGTCTGCTGTCTTGCCTATCTGTAATGTGTACGTTGTCATGAATCGAAACAACTCCCGTTACTATTGGGTGTATAAGCCCGCTGCAGCGCGGCAAAGGCGTAGTCGCGGCAGCAGTACCGTCCTTTCATAGCCCAACCCTGTAGTACATCAGGCGATGACCTCGTCGCCTCTGGAGACTGGCCCTGCCATCTGGTGGGCTCTCTGGTGAGTAGGTACCAACTTGTGCACCATTCAGCAATTTTTTGCTTCGTCAGTTGACCTTGACCTGGGTCGTGCTGTTTGCAGTAGCCAGGCTTGCGGCTCTCTCGTTTCCAAGTCCGTGCGGGTCAGCGACATGATGTGAACGAGCATGTACAACATGAGGGGGTGCAACACAAAGACCAAATGAATTGTTAAATATTCTTTATTTTTATTAAACGAAATGAGAGTAAAATACCCCTTATCCTTGTGACGACACAGAGCCAGTAATGTGCGACAACATAAGCGCCAGCACCGCTCTCGAAAACTACCGGGTAACGAACGCGTGACAGCCCAACAACCTCGAAGCGCCAACGAGAAGCTCTAGCCAGCCTGCCATGCCATCATTGGCCATTTTCCATCTCTACCAGTCGGAAATACCTGCTGTTCCTGGTTTTGCCAACCTGCTTGCTCTCCAAAGTGCCACAGCGTCACCTCCAGCAAGTGTGGTGAGAGCGGTGCAACGCGTCGTGTAGCCCTCCTCCCCCCCGTGGCGGTCCTTGTGATGACTGCGCCGCGAATGCATGCCCTGATCTAAGATGTTTTTCCCAATATAATAGCACAGACTAGTTATCAGCCCTCGCCGAGGAGGGGGGGTCGCACGCTACGGTGACCAAAGAAAGAACTCTGATGCTCTGCCCCCCCTCCAAGGACCAGCTTTCACGACAAAGTGAGACGCAACAACTGACCGCGGACCCTTGGGGGGGAGGCGGTTAGCCACTTTTCGACCACTCGCAACGGCGGGATGATGTCCGACTTTGTCTATAACATGACCTGCGCAGATTTTGGGCGAATCACCACGTTTTGAAGTGAAAGGGGGGTGTGTGTGTCTGTGTGTTGTGGCGGGGGGGGGGAGGCTCGTCAGTCACACGGGATGGCGCTTCCGGATGCTCAAGTGACCATCCATCTGATACGTGGCGGCGCATCCAGCAAGGCACAAACGGCTGGCCGAGTTGTCGCATTTTGAGTTGACGAGGGGATTGGGGGGGTTGCGAGCGAGAGGGGGCGGTCGCGCTTCCGTTGCGACGCTGTTATTTCAGCTCAAGCCTTGGCCCCCAACAAGGGTTTGCCTGTACTAGACACCGAGATCGGACAGTCGGTGACGATGAGGAGTAAAGTAGAGGGTATGGCGAAATCTCATTTCCATTTTATCATTTATTCATTATTATTTTATTTTATTTGTATTCATGGGCAACTTGTTTGCCGTTGGTGAAATCACAGACATCATATCATAAGGGACCCTGTGTCTTGGTTGAGTGACGTGATGATATTGTGTGCTTTTCGTCTTTTGATGTAATCTTCGCAGCTGCCAAGCACATCATACTGATAAGTATCCGTACATGTAACTGTAATTTCTCAATAAATAACAATAATAAGCCGCCAGACTAGAGCCGCGATGGACCGAATACACAGAAGACGTGCAGCCGACGATGCGCAAGTCTGCATTGTGTCATCTAGGTGATGGGTGGCAAATGTTTCTGATGGCGGCATCGTCGTCACAAATACGCAACTCGTTCCTTCCAGGAAGGAATTGACTAGTTATTTTATTATTCTGTATTATTTGCCGAATATTCACAGACGTCTGGACTTGAAACTGGTTCAATCTGACCTGGATCGGTCATGGTTTAGGCTGCGTGTAAGCCCACGTGTTGGGCCTCGTCTCGCATAGTCCTGCCTATCCAGGCAATTCCGTAAACTCTCTTGGATATCCCGCCGGTACTGTGACATTTCGATACTATTTTCCGACTGAGCCGAAATCGTGGGGGTTGAAAACCCCCCATCACACAACTCTTTTTCCTTCATCCCCCCCCCTTTCGTATCCATCCTCCAGACCATCAGCCGCACATCATGGGTAAGCCCGCCGCTGACAAGACTTGGCAGGTAGTCGGCCATTAAAGCACCCCGTCATCTCCCTTGGGGCTTGCATCTCCAGATCCCACGGCATTGCTTGGACCCCTGCTGGTGGCGCCGCTAGTCTCCCACATCACCGGATCCCTTTGATGCTAACAAGGTGTCAAGGTGTCTATTATACGGAGACTGTATGCGCTCACCGCGGCCGCGTCCTGGAAACAAGGCAGTATTGTCCCGTTGGAGCTGCTTGCAGGGATGGGATATCGAGATGGTCCTTTTCTGCTCATGTCCAGAAATGACCCGAGGGGACGGCTGTCGTTGATCCCGAAGATGGGGTGGTGCTAACGTTAGTTCGTGCCGCATGATTTGCAGCAAGCAAAACTCGGACAGGGTTGCGTTTCCGAATAACAGGAACATCGCATCGATATGCTATTTCCGATCTGATTCGTATACCTTGAGAGTTGTATAAATGAAGAAGAATGATTATTTTAATTGTTGAATTGATTTAATATTATTCGCAATTTATTTATCCTTTTTTTCTTTTGCATGCATCCTCGTCACCCGTCGCGTGCTTGCTGTGGTAGCACTGCCATCATCACCTCACCTCGTAAAGGGAGGGGGGAGGGGGCTGAAAGCAGACATCCGATGCTCTCTTGTCGCGCAGAACAAAACACTGGTTCCAAAACATGGCTGGCTGCCGGTACATACCGCAACTTTTGCCGGCGTACGGTTGGGCCGGCCTGTTGCTCTCACCTGCTTGGCCATGACCGCCTGAAACGCCTCAGACACAGAAAGAGAGATAGAGAGCGACAGAGAGTGCAACCGTATATTCACCGCCAGACGGCTCGCAGACGGGATGGGATAGATTGCCTTCCCACCACCAGGTTACCGCAACGCCGGCAGAGTCGGAAGCCCAACGAGGGGGGAGCATTTTTGCCCAAGAATAGGGGATCGTCTGGTTATCTGGCCGGGGGACCTCTGGTCCAGCTCCCTATACGAATCCATGCTGCAAGCTTGTCCTGTGCATGCCGGTCCGTCGATCTCATCTTGGATGTAGACAAGGGACGAAACGGACCACGGAGTCAATTACAATATGTACCGTTTACAATGGAGGTACTGTTGGTGCTTGGGGACTCTGTCCTTTGGGCATGGCCAGCTGAAAGTGTATACTATGCCGGTCCAACAGCTGATCCCATGCCGTCTACAAATTACACGTATAGTTCTGTAGCACACGGATGAAGCATACGTATAGGTACAGGTCTGTACCACCCCATCCAACGTCACCCTTGATTTACTCACCAACCACCGTACCATCCGTCGGCCTACAAGCCTTGGCTACAAATTACTATAAACCGGCAGGGCTGGGCAGGCACACCAACCCGTCGGCTGGTCGTGCAACAAACAACCCTCTGCAGCCTCCACAAACCTTGCCCAGCCGCAGAAGAGGGTGTGGCAATTGCTTATCAGACAGACCTTCTGAGGAAAAAAACACAAAAGTCGAAAAGGCTTGAGCGGGCAAGGTTTCGCGACATTTCTTTGCCAGCAATCGGTGCGACAGCAAGGGAGAGAGCCTGGGGCGGCGGCACGGCACGAGACGTGGTGCTCCCAGACGCGACTTGCATATCCGGATTGCCAAGCTTCTTGTCACCGCCGCATGCCACCCGTACTCGAAACATTTTTGCTCTCATCGTTTGGGCAGAACGGCGCTGATATTGGGTAACTGAGCGGTGGCCCGGCATGGAATTGTGACCGGCGGTGATTGGTACGGTAGAGCAGCGCGGACTGGATCGAAAGAGAGAGAGTGACTCGCTTCAGCTACGCCATATCCCGAAATTCGAGACATTGTTGGCGAACCCTCGATCCGTACTGCCTTTGCGTCAATGGCCGCATCATAAACATCGGACAGAAGGGGGGGGGGAGGTGTTTGTCGATTCCGGGCCGCAGAAGTAGCGCCCCAGTGACGAAACATCTTCGTCATTCTGTACTCTAGAAATAGAGCCCGTGTTACCCCGATTTCGAAAGAAAAAAATTTGAGGCGGTCACGAGGCGGGTGGCGTGGGTGAAACAAGAATCCTCAAAAGACAGCTTTTTTGTTATTTCGTACTCCGTACATTGGGGGTTGATCGTCTTTTCTGACATACATATATGTAAGCCACCAAAAAGGTTCGGGGAGGGGGGCGGGCCAATCCATCCGCTGCAAAGCAAACAGCAAACCCCCCTCAACGAGGAAACTTCCGAGACAAGACGTGAGGGGGGAGGATGGGATGGGTTGAAGATGGGAACAAGGTTACGGGCGTGGATGCCTCGGAACTCGGTGGTTGTTGTGGCTGATTCATCCTTGGTTTTGCGACTCCTCAGAAAAGAAGAGATTTGTAATTTGTATATTCGTCGTTTTTTTATTATTATTCTTTCCATAAATTATAAAGTGAGAGACATACATCGTCTTTGAGCAACCGGTAATCGGCCAAGCGTCAGATCAGCGCAATGGGCATCCGTTTAAAACGGCGTTCCTCTGCCAATTGTTGTCGTCTGAGAGTACCTAGTAACTATGAACCGCCCAGGGTTTACGGAAATATTAGTCCAGTGACAGCAAATAAATAAAATGGGTGACAAATATCGTAATTGACTTGATTAATTCTTCGTTCGCTGACAGCCCCTGCTCCGGGCACGCAATTGCGGGGGAGGTGTCAAGGGACTGTTGGCACTCGGGGAAGCCCTTTGACGGGACTTTTTTTTTTCAATCAATTAATATGTAATTATTGATGCTGGGGCCCTCGTTGCAAAATATGGGCACCGATGGGCATGGTCCCTGCCATTTCCCTCTGATCACCGGGGGGGTTGTTCATTTGACTTGTCTGAGGTCGGCAAGCCCCGATCCCCCAATCCTCGGCCACAGATCAGCCCATTTTTCAAGAGCCGTTGAACAAAGAGCGGCAACTAGTTACAATAAAGTAGGAAGGGGGGGGAACGGCCCGGGGCCGCGCGACACTAGACCTCCTTTTGGACCAACTCTGTCGGGGGAGCTTTGACACTTGCTTCAGAAACGCGATTCAGTCGTCTCAAAGCGAGCAAGTGCAACGCGTAGTTTTAACTGGCTGTTCCATCACGGCCCTTGGCTCATGCTTTTGACGTACGCCGGGGCGTGACAACGGGCTGTGCGCAATGAAATCGACGTTGATAGATGTTCATGGACGCTCGGGGAAGAAAGGGGGGGGGGATTCGGCATCGCTGTGACAAAGGCCACATCGTCTCTGCGTTCTCGAAACAGATACCGATGGCGCCTGAGCGTTGTGTCTAGTTACTGATGCGATCCTTTGACGACCATGCTTTGCCGAGGCGGATTGTTGGCACGGCACTTGCCCACAAGTTGCCAAGTACTCTGTCTGGTCTACCTATTTTCTCCAACTATTACCAGCCACAATATCTAGAACAAACCCTAATTAGAAAATAAAGTCACTGAAAAAATCATCAACCTCATCAGCTGATCAAGGGCGAGAAAACCAGGCCCCCCCCCCTGACCGAAACACCGGCAGCAGCAGCCGGGCCCTCCGCACAGCCACCCACTTGCATCATCATGCACTCCAGAGGCTCGATACATTTATGCATCCACTTGACGCTCTGTGTCCGTAACGTAGATGTCATGTAGTTTGGTTCTCGCAGCGCCCGCGCAAGCAGAGAAGGACAGAGAAATGTTGGGATGCCCGGGCGTAACCACTCCCGGCGACGCTCTGGCGTTGCACATCACCGACCCCCAGCGTTCGTCGGCAGGGATCACGGAACGTCCGTGGTGAGACCCCCAAGCGAGACCCCCCCTCTGTGAACAGCTGCCGAACAGCTCCTAAGCGATGCTTTATCTTTTGAGCAAAAGTATGGATAAATTAAGCAGAATAAATGAATAAATAAATCATTTTAATAAAAATAAAATCCATTTGATTTCTTTCTGCGTCGTTGCATTCTTCAGATGATGCGGCGGTTCCGTGACTAACTGATCTTTGTCGTTCTCGCCCCAGCGCCGCGTAACGAACGTGTCTTTATCGCCTTGTGCTACTCAGCAAGGTCAAGTTACGTTGCAAAGAGCGCGGGTGTAGTAGACGTGAGAGAGTACATGAGGACAATACATCATCTCACCAAAAACGATCTCGTTGCATGGTGTCTAGTTGCCAAAGTCACAATGTCTTCCCTTTGGCTAGTGGAAACGAAAGCTTCCTGTGCTCCATGTCATCACTCCAGTGGCTACAAACTACAGTATGGCTATCATCTAGACTGGTCAGTACCGCTTCGTGGAGGCCATCATCACCATCTTCACCATTCCTGCGTGTAACTTCCTCGGGTAACTAGATGTATTGGCCTCCATTTCGCCCGTTTTTTGTAAACTACAAGAATCCCCAGTCTTCTACCTTCTAGCATTGAGCTTGTGAAGTGTTGTGTGTGGAAGCGCCCCGAAAGCAAACATCGTCGCGGCCGCTTACCTTGCTTTGCGGAATGCGCGAGACCAACCAACACGCCAGCTTTCAAGACTCGGCAAAAAAAAAGAAAACATACAGCAGCCGGTGTTCGCTGGTCGTCACCGACCCAACTACTAATCTGCCGGTCAGTAGCTTGACTTCAGCGGAGCAAACGGACTTCAGCGGAGCAAACGGACTTCAGCGGAGCAAACGGGATGTCTTGCATAGTAATAGGACTAACTAGAACCCGAAGTTTACCTACCCGCCTTTAGTAAGCAATTCTCTAGGTAAGAGCGATTTACAATTAAGTAGCCTATAATAAAGTAATATAAATTATATATATACTTCTAAAAACTCTTAAAAGAATAAACCTTACTTTAAATTATAACTTTCTACTAACTAACGCCCTTTTATATAGGTATATATATTTAAAATAGTATACTAGACTCCTAGTAGAGAGATAGAGACGCTTCTTAATAGCGCCATCTTATATAGAGCCTACCTAAACAGTACCGGTGCCGGCATAGGCTATAAGTATTGAGACCAATAGGGCATATATAGGGTAAGAGGTGAAGTTGTTGTATTGTGTATCTTCTATCTGGTTGTATGGTACGGGTAAGTGCCAGATATACTAGGTAACGGGAGATCGTTCTTCCGGCTTTAGAGCCGCCTATCATCACCTAGACCTACCTAGCGATTGCTACTAGAGGCATAATAAGATTTCACTATAAGGCCACCCTAACTAAAATCAGTTGGTAATAGATATATATTATATTTATTATGTATACTTAAATTATAGCAGTACGGTTTTAGTCTAAGCCCAATACAAACAGTAAAAAGTAAAAGCTAGGCTATTAGGTGTATTTTGACATTTATAATGTTATACGCCTACTTTCGTCCCCCCATTCCTTACTAACCGCCGTATTTTCGCCTGCTTGTAGTATGGGTGGTTAGAAGGTAGGGCAGCAGGCGGCGCTCCGGTTTATCCTGTTCCCAGAGGGGTTTCTAAATACTATAAACCCCGCGGATACAATTTTAACGACGCCTAAAAGCAGCATGTAGCATACAACCATAAAACTATCGATTAAATAAGAAGAGCTTATCACGGAGGTGTATAGGGCGCTTAAGAGGGAGTCGTAGAAACTAATCGAGCCGCTGAGGGAGTTCTCCGCGAATCCGATAAGTCTTCTTCAGTGGCTTATTCTCCGTTGTCTGTGCGTGGCGAGTTCTTTATGGCGCTCATTGCCGGGCGGGGTTGCTGACCTACCGGCCCTTCTTTATTCCGGCGGGATGGTGCGGTTTAGTGAGACCCGCGACTCCATGTGATAAAAGTTCGCGGCTTTTTCTTAAAGGCAGATTATTATCAACCGTGACAACAGTATATGCTGTAATACAACGTCTTAGTCACCGCATATGGCTATAACTCGCAGGATCAAGCCCGCCGACGCCATAGGGTTAAGGGATAAGTTACGGGACGCATACACCAGAAAAAATAATAATGAAATAATAACTTTCGTCAAGGACCACGTACGTACTAGACTTTAATATTATAGAAGCAAAAGCACTAACACACTAGGAAGTTAAAGGAACCTAAGCGAAACGCATACCTCGCGGAGGCGCAGGCCTCATCAGGCCGGACTGCCGTTGCAGTGACAACACCATGCATAGTCTTCCTCATGTTTGGTCGCTTCGATTACCCAACAACACAACAAGATGGCACTGTAAAGTGGACTGAAATAAATAGTGCTGGGTTTGGGTACGAACTGGATAGTGGCAATCAGATATTGCTACACATGACAACAGCTATTGTTATATTAGAGGCTGAAAGTTAACTCCTCGTCCCTGAACTGGTTTCCAGTATTTAGCGATATATCTGTCCCATCCATATACCAGTTCCAATGGTTGCTAGTCGGTTGTTGTATCACTTCTGACCAGTCCCATTGATCCACGAAACCTGTTTGCTGGGAAGGCGTTGACTCTGCACAATCGCCAAGATCAGGGCCAAGATCGTCAAGTCCTCCTGCCATAACAGCCTCAACGCCATTATTCAAGCCTGATGCTGTAGGCCCTGGGACAGACTTCTGTCTCTTCGTTGTAGAGGCCTCCTCACCATCATACAGTCTCTTTTGCCCATTATTAGACGGCAGAGCGGCACCATCACTCGAGCGCGCATGTAGATGATGAGGCTGTAAGGAGCTGTCGAATAAAGAGGCAGCACTTGAGGGTAAACTCAACGTTGTCGCTGCACGAGCCTGGTGCGTTGTCGCGTCGGCCGCTTCGGTCCCGCAATGGTGATCTGCGTAGGAATGGGAGGGGGCATTCTGAGACTGAGCCTGCAATAATGCAGTATTTGCAAGCACATCGAGAGATTCGTGATGAAAAACTGGAGGCGTAGACAGCAAGTCGGCATTCGAAGCAATTTCCACGGAAGTCGCTCCGTTATCTGACATTAGGACCTGGATTGGGGCCGGTGCAGTATCATGTCTGTTTCTTTGTCCTTTAGCTCTTTCCGAAGATTCAACCAAGCATCGCATGGTTTCTGCTGTTGCTGCGCTGTGCTCACCACTCTCCAACCACGCATCGCAACGTGCATAAATACAGCCCAAAATTTCTTGTATTTTCGTTTGGAATCGCCTCGCAAACTCGACATCCTTGTTGATTTGATCAGCTTTTCGAAGCTGCTCGAATTCCTCATTTATCTCAGCATCTGTTTTAGCGCCTTCAGCACGCAATTTAGATACGAAGGTCTTTCTGGCTTCGTTATCTTTCGACTTCGGTATGCGCTTCTCATACCTAGATAGTCAGTCACTAAGTGTGCTGTTGATAGCAAATGTACTCACCACCAGGCATGATCAGGGCAAAGGCTAAAAGCAGCGCTGAGCGATGTCTCCAGTGCCAATTGCGAGTATCTCGTTCCTCGATCGATATTTTCGGTGATAAGTTTAGAGATTCTGACTCCAGAAAATTCTGGATTGTATGCTGCCGCCACACGGACAAGTACGTCCTTGGCTGCCAGGTTGCAGTAACCTTTTTCACCTCTGTATCCATCATATACTATTCTGTCGCGTATGTGCAAAGTTGCTAGGCTCAAAGCCCGTTGTTTTATGGCGTTAAGCCATTTGCTTGTATCGGCTTGCACTAAGGCCAAGAAAAAATCCGGGCTGTCGTTTTGGCCGAAACCGCTCTTAAAAAACTTTTCCGCGGTGGTTGTCTGTAGCACTTCTCGTACCGTTTCAGGCAAACCCGGTAAGAAGCGTAATTCTGGAGTAGTCGACAAAGATTTCGCTGCTGAAGAGGTTCGAGATGTAGACTTTTCGTACGGCTGGAAGGTATTCTGTCGAGCGGACAATGATTTAGGTGCGGACGAGGTTCGAGATGTGGACTTTTCGTATGGCTGGCACGTATTCTGTCGAGCGGACAAACATTCGGTAGCTGGAAATATTCCACATGGTCGTTGATTAGGCAGCGTTTGTTGTGAAGCAACTGGTGTCGTTGTCGTATAGTCGGACGAGGAAGAGAGGGGTGTTAATGGAAGTGATGCAGTGGGAGAGGGCGTTGAGATTTCCTGTTGGTCGGCTACTATCTCGTAGAACAGGATTGGTTCCTGCTGCTGGATGACCTGCACACAACGGAGCAGATGTGGACGAAGTTTGCTAAGCAATCCAGCATTAGTGCTTAAGGGCGGCCAAACTTTTTCGAAAAAGTTTAGCAAGTTGGTGGGAATCAGCGTGTCAGCTAGGTCTTGGGCCATAGTATGGGTGATGCTTGAGTTTGTCGAGTGTAGGAGAAAGACTGGCTGGGCAACCCGTTGTTGGACTGGAAGTGGTCAACAAGACGCTGAATAATTATGTGGCTGACCCGTGTCTTACTAGGTACATTGTAAGAAGTAATGATCGACAGATTCTTCTGCGCTGTACAGAAAAATTTGTCGATCATTTCCTAACTACACTTGGCTGTATCGTCAGCCGTTCTCCCCTTGATACGGCCTAGCTTCACCTTGCCGCCTATCTCCTGCATACACATCGTGCGCAGTTACTATGAACATTTCCTTTATGGCACGTGCGGGCGGGATATGCTGGATCTTGAACTAAAGTAATGGCTAATAATACTATAGAGGGTTAATGGATTTCTGTCACATATACGCTTCGATGAGGCTTGCTGAACGGCCCACTCCAAGAGAACAAAACGACATACAGTTCCAAAACAGCTGCGGATGGACGGAAGCTGTATAAATGCATGAAGTCTTAAGTTTCAAAAAAATGTGTCTATATAAAGGAACAATACCAAATGCAAAAAGTACACCGCCCTTTAGGATGCAACCCATCGGCGCAATGCAGCCCATCGGAGTGAATGAGTACGCCCCTGCCCTTGCTGTACTTTGCCTCGAAGTGGCTTACCTTGCGCTTTGCCTCGTTCGCGATTATTTCCCGGAGCCATTGTCGAAAGATAGACGCTGTTTTCTTAGAGTCGCTCTTATCATTTACTCTATTATGTCGGCTGTATTAGTATCGGCATTTTTTATTACGCGTCGAACACCGAACACCCAGCTACTTTCATATGTGTTGTTCTACACATGGGAGCTTGTTAGTGGACTATGCCTAGGGGCAGAAATTGTAAGATCTGCGGAACTTTAAGTTAGCAAGTACTAACAATGAGCTTAGGCTTATCTCTGTCTTTCTATACTTCCATTTCGAGGTGTTAGGAAATACGCTGTGATAGCGTGTGCTTCCCTACTCACCGCCGCTATTCTGGTTGTAGGGATTTGGTGCTTGGTGACTACGCAAAGGCTGTGGCTTTGGGTATTCATTACGCTTTACAGCGGAGCCTTGGCACTGACAGGTGCTTCCTCCACCAACGATGCGGCCCCAATTCATACACGCTTACAGCGACACTGGGTTTGCCTCGGACTGCCCGCCGTGTTGGGCCTTGCGCTAGGACTTGTGGCTGCTTTTGTGGCGGCTGAAAAGGCGCCCATTCTGCAGCATATACAGTACTTCTCTCACTCATTGGTTGGTCTTTTTGTCATCTGTCTCATGCAGGTCATGGGGTGGGTAACTACACGCCGGTTACGAAGACAGGCAAAGGAGGCGAGTCAAGCTCCTCGGCGGGATAGAAGTTCTCCCGAACAAGGGCTGTCTCTTGAGAGCTCGACCGCAGTGTGTCTGGAGGAAGTGATTGGTCTTGATGATCTTGAAAGTCTGGCAATGGACGAGGATCCTGGCGATCCTGGGAAGGGCGAAGGATGCAGGGGGCGCCCCGATAGCACGACTCTGGGATGGGGGAAGGATATGTTTCACCCTCAGCAGACTGCAAGCCAGTCAAGAGAAAGGTTAGTAGGATTTGAGCAATTTGAACCATAGTACATAATACACCAGTAACGCCCATGACTTCTACTATAACCATAACTACTGTGTGTGCTCTTTACATTATGGCTACCCATTACCTTTTAGGTACTAATCTAGATAGAGAGGTAATATATCTTATCTACTTTATCTTTCATATACTAATAGTAAACAGGGTGTCGATATAATCCCGCTAGAGCTCTAGATAGGCAAAGTCGGCAGTATTCTACAGGACTGCCTACCAACTTTCGACACACGCCTCACATTAAACAACCATTACGCTGTATTTGCCACACCCTTCAACACGACAGAAAGCGACAGTGACAAAGCCGATCTATCCAAAGCTTGCAAAATACTCAGGAGTTCCGAGAACAAGTTTAGGAGCTTTAAGACGCAACTGGAGAGTGTCTCAAAAGGTGCATACATGGGTATTCGCACAGCGACAGAGTTTTTGGTCATTGCAAAGTACGACACCGATGTAAAACCAGTTATACAGTTATCACGCGCTTTAGAGGCAGCAGAGGAAGGTGTAATACTCTCTTATTAAAGTGCAAGCCTAAGTGAGCAGCCGAAAAATAGTACAGCTGAAATTTAATACTTCGTGAATAGTTTAATCTACAACATTAGCACGATTGAGCGCGCTGAAGAATTGTAGTTCTTTTAGCAGTTCGTGGCGTCTATTGCATTGCTTGTATATATTACAGCGCTGCCTCAGCGATCTGTCAAGAAATCACGGCTAGCAAGAGATCAACTGCATCAGCAGCATCAGCTGCATCAGCTGCATCAACTGCGTCCGCTGCATCCGGTACTCCAACTACTTCAACTGCATCAACTACTGTTTCCAGTCAATGTCTAGGCTAGATCGATCCAATGCGGGATCTCCGCTGTACTGTGGCAAGACCATGTTCGTGGCTATGGCCAAAATGAGGAAACACCGGCTCGTGAAGGACAGGACGACCTAGGAGAGACCTTAATTAAGTGCCTTACCCGTGGATTTGAATCTACTCATCCCATAACCGTCATTGCAGCCTATTATTATGGCTTCTCAGATTGCTAAGAACCATGGCCTGTAAGTCATTGCAGCCCTTTCCATAACGAAGGCTAATGCTAGTCAGAGTTTCAGACCAGGTAGAGGTCTCGGTCTGCTCTCCAAATCGCGCACAACATCCCGATGAGAGCGGACCAGCTCGGCGCGTCCAGAATCTTTCGGCTCTCCAGCCAAATTATGCCCATAAAAGATACACTATTCTCGCCCAGGCCATGCTTATTCGTGTGCGAAAGAATGAGGACTTGCGGATTCAATCATGTTTAAGCGACGACAGTCTCTGCCGAGCCTTGTCGCCACTGCGTAACTCTACTGACGGGACTATCAATGATTCGATCGATACCCTCAGCGACAAGTTTCAAGCTCAGCTACGTCAGGACAAGGTGGCCGGACTACTGGCATGTTTCTTCCCGTTGCAGGGCTATTCCACCCGTAACGAGCAAGCCGAAGTTGCAGCATCGAGCTTGAGAACCTTACAGCAAATTGGTGTCATCTCAGAGATCGGACACTCCGAGGAGGACCAACTTCACATTATGGCCAAGGTCTGCGGAAAATTGTGCTTTAAGAATACTTTTGAGCTTCCCACTGGTCTTGACGATACGATGTTGCCTGATCTGCTTGCCAAGTTCACAATTATGGAGGTAGCCCGCGACAGGTGGACGGCTAGCTAGGTTGGTAGAATAGCTGCTCTGCACTTGTTACTTAAGGACACCAAGGCCGCCTGTTTCGATGCACATAAGTATATAAAATTAGAGGCTCTCCTCTTAAAACTCTTGTTTCTGTTCTCATTTTAACCAGGATACGTCGAACCTGTTTCTAAATTTGACTCTTAAGAGACTCGCTTTGGACCCCGTCACATTAACACCGCGAGAAGCCACGACGAGCACCACATAACACCCGTCGACATTGCAAAGTTGCTCGTCTCGATTTCTCAAGGCGCCGCTTACCTCCTTGCAACGCCGAGTACCGAATATGGCTGCCGATTCCAAGCCTACAAGCGAGGCAGTTGCGTCTATGGCCGCTAGAGTCGCCCCTTTCGAGTCCTCCATTGAGCCCGCCAATACCGTGCCAAAGCCTTCTCCCGCCCTCACCCGGAAAAAGGCACTAGCAAAGTTTGGCCTCGGCGGTTCATGTTCCAGCGAGCAGGGCGGGTTCCTGATGGATGGTTCCCTTGGATCTACTCCTTGTGATGTTCGGCCCGCAGAGCCACTCATCTCCGAGAGCGCCATCGACTCGGATACCGATGACGACTGCGTTAACGAGAGCGCTATTGACGACGATGACTCTTCCGATTGGGAAGACTCTGACAGCAGCAAATCGAGCGTTGAGGCGAAGTTCTTCCAACGTGTTGAGTCCAAGGCGCACCTAGTCTCCCGCTGTTCGCTTATTACTCTTATGCTTGCGCGGACTCAGCAACAAGCATCTCACTCAGCCTCTGCTATCACAGCCCCGGGCGCCTCTCCTAATGATGATGATGAGGACCCACTGTTGATAAAGGGCATGCGTCTTTCCAACATCATCGAGATACCTCGCCCGAGCGCCCAGCCGATTGTCGCCCCTACTAACAACGTCGGCTCGCAAGCAGTTCTATCACCACGAACCACGCGCCGCAACATGTTTACTATTGAGATGTCTAATTCTCTTCGCCGCCATCTTCTCTGGGAGCGTCACATGAAGAATTTGACTGCCAATGCTGTGCTTAAGCGCCGCCATACCTGCGACGATGTGGCAAACCCAAAGCAGTTTCCGAAAAAGCCCTGTATGAAGCAGAGTGAGGACGCCAACGCAAGCAGTTGGAATCCGTACAGAGAATACAACAGGACGCGCCGTACCATCCACTACAGATCATGATGGCAAAACTCACCCTTTATGCCCGACCGCCGGCACCACTCACTGTATTAACCTGCCCGTCTCGAATAGCTTCGGCAGCACGACCGGATACTCGTCACAATTCAACAATCCCTTCCTCGCCCCCAGAATGACCGAGGCCCACCGTGCCGTTTGAGCTTCTTTGCCCTGCTCTACTCGGGTTCCTTCCGCGCCGAGGTCGAGAAGAACCCGCACGGTCGAGTGCGCGCGGCCTGCACGACGCGCAGCTGTTCTGGGCGGCTGACGCCCGGCCCGGCGCTCATGTCTCCCGAGTGCGACGCCGTGTACCCGGCCGTCGGCGGCGCGGGGGCGCTGTTGCGCGCTCATCGGCTGTACCACCGACACCATCCGCAGCCCGTGGCAGGACCGCCTGCGGTCGGTGCCGCTCAACGGCTGAGGGGGCGTGTACTTTGGCTTTGACGACGACAGCATTGTGGACTTGGGGGCGAAGCCATTTGTCATGGACGATGGCTGGTTTGGAGAGAAAGATCCGCGGACGAGTGACGATGCTGGGCGAACTGCTTCCTGGATGGCTTCAGGAGCGTGATCGCCAGGGCGACGACGCTGGCGGTCGCAGGGTCTAACGGGACGTTGAAATTCGGCATCTGGGTCGACCCGGAAATGGTGAACCCCAAGTCGGCGTTCTTCGACACGCACCCCGACTGGGGTTTCCAGGCCGCGCAGCGAAGCTTGCCACCAGTTTGTCCTCGAACTCGCCTTGCCCGTTTCGTAGGACTTTATCATTGACAGCATCATGGCGCCTATTTCGTTCGTCAAGTGCGACAGAAATCGCGGCATCCACGAGACGGCCTCCGCGTGCTTCTTCGACTCCTACCTGCGCGGGCTCTACCGGGTCCTCGAGCAGCTGACCACGCGCTTCCCCGACGTCCTCTGGGAAGGCTGCGCCTCGGGCGGCGGCCGCTTCGTTGCCGGCATGCTGCCGTACTTCGCGCAGTCGCGGGCCTCGAACAAGACGGACCCCGTCGACCGCACCGCCACCCAGCTTAGCGCGACCATCGCGTGCCCAACCTCGTGCGTCGGCGCACACGTCGCAAAGGTTCCCAACGAGACGACGTGCCGCGTCGCATGGGTGGCGTTTGCGCGCACGTCGCCAAGATGGGCAGCTCCGAGCTCGACTCGCGCGGCGAGGACATTCCCGTCGTAGATATACAGTAGATCCTAGGCCTGACCCAACGGGCGGAGACGATTACTCCCATCGTCTTCAAGAACGATTTGTGCAAAGTCAGTCCGTCTAGGGACTCGAATCACCCGGCGGCGGTGCTTCTGGCCGAGGACGGGTCGTGCGGTGTACTATCCGCGTTCCAGATGCCGAGGCAGACGGTGCACTGCCAGCCAACGCTGCAGCTTCAGGATTTAGACGCTGATAGGAGGTATATTGGATGGAGAAAGGGAGTTTTCGGGTGCAGCGCTGATGAATGGGCTCGCGGCTTGACTTTGAGGGTGATTGTGACAGTTGAGTTGTGCTCATTGACCAAGTTTAGCCTGAGGTGGCCGATGAACTGCGAAAGACTGAATACACTTAAAGAATGAATACACTTATCTTTGAACACGGGGTCTGTCCGGATTTGCACTTGGGTGTTGAGATTTTGGCGAATCACTTCACGAGTTGTAGGGTACATGGTTGTGGTGAGGGTTGTTGTGGTGAAGAGGACTGGGAGTCGCTGCCAGGGACAGGACAAAGTAAAAAGCGGCGGTGGGAGAACGGTCGGTTACTTTACAGCGCCCATTTGGAGCCAACTACTAACTTGTACAAACTCCCCAGAGAAGCTGGTTTTGCCGGCTACGGGGTGGTTTCGTCCTACGTTGCCTCACAGCACCTGGGCCGCGTCGCTGGGTCAGGCGACAGGCTGACAGCTACTCAAGCACCCAGAACGGCCTAGACTACAGGTTGGATCATATTATAGTTCTCCGTCTCTGTTATCAGATGTGAAACGGGTCCTTGTTCAGCAGAATGAGGGGCAGTGGAAGCACTGAGAGGGACAAGGAATACGTGTGGATGCTGAGCTGTGCCGGCTGAGCTCCAATTTTCAGCTGTTCGCCCAAGAAGCGTGGCGTAGAGTCCAGAGGACACTCCTTCAGATGACGAAGAAAAGGTAGGTGTCTCGGCCGAATGCTTACATGGACTATCCAAATGCAGGACCGTTGTCCGTCAGTATGCAGGTTGAGCAGATTGACATCTGACCGGGGCACAATGGCTGAGACGAGCCACTCTGTGGCCGAGGCGGATAGGCCTCTTGAGCCTATCTGGTGGAGAAATTCCGAGAAAACGAGGCTGGCTCAACGCCAGTGCTCGTATAATCGCGAGCTGTATGGAGTCGCTGATGGTTGGCTTCTGGTTGTTGACTCGGCTCAGTGACTGGAAAGGCTCATACATATTCGTAAACGCCGTCGGGCAGACCGGGAAATTGGCATGCAGCGCCGAGGACAGCAGGGAATGTGATGCGCAGACAAACGCTCGTGAGCCTCGGCGATTGATCCGGTGGATCAGCAAAATTTGATGTCGTCGGAAGAGTATCCAAAAAGATCTGGCAGCATGAACTACTGAAAGCCCCTTGTCGAGGCTAGGATGTGGCCGGCGCGGCGCCGTGGACCGTGGCCCACCTCGCCGGCTGCAGGAGACGGACTTTTAACCCTCTTTGCGACGAGCATGGACAGGAGAGATCTTGAAAAGCCGGCAAGGGCCGCATATCCACTGGAGGCCGTAGCGAATGAAGCAGTCGTTTTCAATGGTGGTATGCACGAACCCCGTACCTCAGACAGCACATATGTATGCTAATTTGCCATCACTTGTGTGGGCTGGTCGGTGCGGATCGCGGCAGGCGATAGACGAGGAATTCAACGGCAGCAAATGAAACTCAAGAGCGACCAGGAGATGAGAGCGCCAAAGCTAGCAATGACGGATGAAGGATTGTTGGCTTGCTAGTCTATCGAACTCGTGCAGGATAACTGCAGGGGCCCTGGAGAAGGAGGGTAAGGTGAGATTTTTGCTGGTTGGTCTGATCTCGGAACAGTGCGGAGGCTGCCGGGACGAATGAGAGGTCTCTGTTCTGATCTGGAGAAGCTGTTGCGCCAACAGTCATTGGCTAGAGGGACCAAGGTAGGTGATGGTGGGTTCGCGTCAACGAAATGACACGAGTCCAAGCGCGCTGATCTTGACGGCCAATCCCCTAGATGAAGGGGCGACAGTTTCAAGAGTTGGCGGTAGTGCTGTTGGAGGCAATGGACATGGGACATGCGGGCTGTGAATAGTCTTGTTTGGCAAATGCGCCTTTTATTAGCGGCGCGCCACAGTCCCTCGACCCAAACGAAAGGAGCAGAGTGCAGGCCTGCAGGAGCCGCCTGTACGAAGTCGACGACTTGCGCCACCTGCTCCTGGGGAAAACCATTGAAAGGTGCGGGGTACCCGTTCAGTAGTTACAGATCCGGCGACGAATAGTCATTGAAGCATCCTCCGGGACAGAGGTCCAGACTTGTTGTATTGAGGGGTCTAGAGAGCTTGGCGACTGCAAATGTGGCGGCGTCGAGGGACAGTCTCGACGCCTCAGACCATTGACGACGACTTTCGCACTTGTTGGAGGGCAGAAGGTTGCGCGGTTGGAACTTTGGCCCAGTGTACTCGTACGGGACTAAGAGGTGGGAAAGGGCTATGCACAGCAGTTGGGTCTCGGTTTGCCTAGTAGTATTTAGACGGGATAGAGAACTGGCGTGTCGGAGGGGTCGGCGACGGCGCTTAGAAATGGACCGAGAAGTATCCGTACCGAGGACTGGTGGTTTGGAGTTGGCTTGTGGCGGGCCGCGCCTTGGAGGTATGTATAGAGCTATATCCGGCACATGTGAAGAGCAATGGGCAGAAGCCATTGATGTTCTCGCCCAAGATTGGACGGCTGAACGAAGTGGTTATTGTTAGCTTGAAAAGACGAATCGAGGTGGAGCTAGCGCCAGCCTAGGTATATCTTTCTCCTGTCTCTAGTGGTGACAGGGAGCAGAGTTTGATGCAAGCTGTGGAAGCATTGAGAACAAGTGTCATATCCGGTAATGCATGGTGGCGAAGATGGTGATGATGATAGTGTGAGGCGGCGCGGGGTCACGGGTGAAGCAGGTAGGCAGTGCAATGCGGGGAGATAGCGTTTGCTTTGCTATGAGGGCGGAATTTTTTGTTGAAGCCGAGAGGCCGTGATGCGTGGGGAATTGACAAGGTTCGGTTATATGGATAATTCGGTTGGGGAGGCTTGGAGGGGCGGGCTGCTGTGCTGCTTGTGTGCTGAGCGGTTGGCTTGAGCGCTGTAAAAGGGTTTACAGGGTAGGCCAGCAAAACAGCAAGGTGCGGGGACTATGGATTCATCCGTATATAAATTATAAAAATATGTTCGTGGTAGATGAATGAAACGGGCCGCGTACGACTGTGAGCCGCCAGTGCATCATGTTTGATAGGTGGTATCGCCGAACCCCTCTGTAGATCCCCAAGACGTGGACGTGCCTGATGGTAGTGGTCGTGGTCGTGGTTGATTGCGAGCTTGTTGGGCACTGGCATCGGTAGAACAGCCAACGGGACGATAGGGGCCACGCCAGTGCATGATGGGATGGTGATTGTGGTTTCAAGGCTAATAGTTAGGCTAAAAGTCGCAAGTCTTTCCTTTATGGTTGGTACACGTCTCTGTTCCAGCATTGACGCGCGACGGCGTACGTACATTGTCTCTCTGCCTCGAGTCTCGACACAAGAGCAACTTCAGCCACAAGCCCTGGGCAGAGCTCGCCCCCGCATCACCTCCACCATAGCTGCATTTAGCGTCCTTTTCCCCCAGACGCGCAGGGGGCCAGTCCACTATTTCCACTCAGGCTGCGACTACCAAACACGCACCTGCAGGTAGCATCAGCCACTAGCGTCCCCCAGCCCAGCACTCAAGCCCGCCAAAGCTTGGCCGTGGCTAGGCAACGCAGCGCGAGGTACCTCCCAGTACCCAGTGGTCAGTACCAGACGCGACTTTGGTGGGCGATGCTATTTGGACCCTTCTCTTGTTGCAACAAGGCGGTTTTTGAGCAAGAGTTCCTGGGTGCCTCGACAGTACTGGAACTGAAAGCTGCTTGCCTTTTTTCCCCAGCTATTTGGGTCATCTGTCGTCATGAAATCACGCCACAAAGCAACGCTCTGTAGGACACTTGTCCAGTGACCCCATCCCGCATCCCTTCCCAGGTACCACCGACAGCACCCACACCTGTACTTAGGCACGGTACAGACAGCTCCAGCCACGCCAACCTCAGCCTGGCCACACGCCGCCTTGGACCTTGGCCTGCGACCGACCTGGACCTTGGAACTTGCTTCTCACGACCTCTCCACCCTCTCTTCCTCCAAAAGTCTTCCCGTTGCTCCCTCGTCCCTCTTTGCCTCGATCCCGCGCCGGCTCGCCTAACCCCGGCCCTTGCCCACTTGACTCTCCAATTTGTTTTTCACCAGCGTCATCGCCAGCTCCATCGCCACTTTACTCTTCTCCTAGTTACCCTCGTTCTTTTTGCTTCTCCTCCCCATCCTCTTCTCCCATCTCCTCCACCACCTTTGCTCTACCCTCTCTCTACCCAGACGGCACATCCGTCCCCCACCCTCTCCATCATGACAGACTACACTTCGGGCATCATGCCCCTGAGCCAGGTCCATCGCCCTCCCTTCACTGTCCAGGCTCCTGGTGTCGAAAAGGTCCCCGGCGAGACCATTCCTCGCCGCCACCCTCGCGCGAAGAACGGCCTTCTCAACCACCCGGCCAAGGACGTCAACACAGTGTTCGACATTGTCCGGCGCAGCGCCCGCGTCTACCCCAACAACACCGCCGTCGGCACCCGCAAGCTCGTCAAGCTCCACAGGGAGACGAAAAAGGTCAAGAAGAACATCGATGGCGAGGTGCAAGAGGTCGACAAGGAGTGGCAGTTCTTTGAGCTCTCACCCTTCTCATTCATCACCTACAAGCAGTACGAGGAGCTTGTTCTCGAGATTGCCTCTGGTCTGCGCCATCACGGCCTTGGCTCCGAGGATAAGCTTCACCTCTTTGCCACCACCAGCGCCAATTGGTCTTCCATTGCCCACGCTTGTGCTTCTCAGTCCATCTCCATTGTTACCGCCTACGATACCCTAGGCGAGAGCGGCGTCGCCCACTCTCTCCTCCAGACCGATGCCAAGGCCATGTTTGTCGACCCTCACCTGCTCAAGACCGCCTCCAAGCCCATCAAGGACTCCAAGGTCAGGCTCGTCATCATCAACGAGGGCTGCATTTTCGCCGAGGGCGGTGAGGTCGAGGCCTTCAAGGCCGATAACCCTAATCTCACTGTAGTCACCTTCGAGGAACTCCGTGAGGCCGGCAAGAACAACATGGTTGAGCCCAACCCCGCCAGCGCCACGGACCTCTTCTGCATCATGTACACCTCTGGATCTACCGGCCTGCCTAAGGGCGCTTGCATCACGCACGAGTCCCTCATCTCTGGTGGTAAGTTGACGCCTCTCATGAATCGATGCCCCTTCGGTATCTAACCTACTTCTCCTCCTAGTCACCGGCCTCCTCACCTGCGTCGACGAATGCGTCAGCGACAGAGAAGTCGTTCTCGCCTACCTTCCCCTCGCCCACATCTTCGAAATGGCCCTCGAGAACCTGCTCATGTTCATTGGCGGCACCGTCGGCTACGGCAACCCCCGCACCCTCTCCGACACCTCCGTCAAGAACTGCGCTGGAGATATGCGCGAGCTCAGACCTACCGTCATGGTCGGTGTTCCGCAAGTTTGGGAGACTGTCAAGAAGGGCGTCATGTCCAAGCTTGAGAGTGCCAGCTCTATCCAACAGAGTCTCTTTTGGGGTGCCTTCAACTACAAGACGTTCATGACCAAGAACAAGCTGCCCTTTGCTAGCATCTTTGATAGCATTGTCTTCTCCAAGGTCCGCACACTCACTGGTGGCCGTCTGCGCTTCACTATGAACGGTGCCAGCGGCATTTCGGAGGGCACCAAGCACTTCCTTTCCCTTATCCTCGGCCCGATGCTGGTCGGTTATGGTCTCACGGAGACGTGTGCCAACGGCGCTCTGGGCTGCCCTCTCGAGTATTCGCCTTTAGCTATCGGCCCCATCCCCGCTTCCATCGAGGTGAAGCTCGTTTCTATTCCCGAACTTGGCTACGATGCCGACGCCAAGGTTCCTCAGGGTGAAATCTGGATGCGTGGTCTTCCCGTCATGAAGGAGTACTTTAACAACCCCGAAGAGACTGCCAAGGCCATTACCGAAGACGGCTGGTTCAAGAGCGGCGACATCGGCGAGTTTGACGCCAACGGCCATCTCAAGGTCATTGACCGTGTCAAGAATCTCGTCAAGATGGCTGGTGGTGAATACATTGCACTCGAGAAGATCGAGTCCATCTACCGCGGCACCCAGACCGTTGCAAACCTCATGGTTCATGCCGACCCCGAGAAGAACCGTCCCATTGCCGTCATCATGGCCAACCACGCTGTCTTGGTTCAAAGGGCCAAAGATCTTGGCATCGACGAGCACCACATGCACACCGACCCCAAGATTAATGCGCTTGTTCTCAAGGACCTTCAAGCTACTGGTCGTCGCGGTGGACTGGGCGGCATCGAGATTGTCGCCGGCGTTGTCATCACTGAGGAAGAATGGCTGCCTCCTACCGTAAGTTTTCCAGCACGCGACTGTTTTGCGCTCCAGACACTAACACTGCATCAGGGTCTCGTCACTGCCACCCAGAAGCTCAACCGCAAGGCTATCCGCGAGCGTTACGACAAGGAGATTACCGAGTGCGTCAAGAAGATCTAAACGACGATATGATACCTCTCCAATGAGATGATGGCGAGCCTGCAGGGAACGCATGTATTCTCCACAGGAGTCGAAGGAATGGTTACACGGATGAAGAGGGGACGATGATACCGCTCGTTGCATCATGCTTGCAACGGTTTTTTTCCTTGCCTGCTTTCTTTTTATGATCTGAGTCTTTTTTTTTTCCACGGCTGGACGTTTTTTGCGCAGCTTAATGCTTGTATTGTAGGTAGTATCTGCTCCTTGGTGGCTAGTCAAGGCTCAAAGTGGCGGTAATGTATGAACAGGTGCAATCTCGACCAAGACTTTTATTTCTTCCCTGACACCAGATAACTTGCTATTCAATTCTAACATGACCGATGTGGTTTTGAAACGAGATGCAACGAAATAAGAGAAACTATTTTATTCTAAAAACAAGGAAAACCACCACGATATTAATAAAATTCAACAAGCCCGCCGACTAGGTCGCCGATGGGTATCGGCGCCCTCCTACGCAGCTCAACGTTCTCGACAATGGTCTCTTGAGCTGTGAGGCCCTTCACTGTGAATAACTAACAGGGGCGGCGGTTCGCTCGCAAGAGAATACAGGCCTCGGTGGCATTCTAGCATGGGTTGCGCACTTGAGGCGGAAAGAAGGACTGCATTACTTGCGTCTCGAGCTTGAGAAGCTTGTCGTGTGAGCTGGGCCATGATTGCTGGACCAGTTCCGCCTCCATGTCAGCCACGCTCGTGTTGATATGTGCTACGCTGTTGTTCAGGGCAGCGAGCAGCTACCGAATAGAAGAGTCGACAGACTTGACGATGATCCAGGCGGCTTCCAAGGTGGTGTAGATGATGACCGGGCAGCATACACACAGGGTGCTATAGGTTTCCAACGACCACTCGTGCGGTTTGCTGGGCAGCCAAAGAAACGGTGCCAAGATGTAGACCAAGCGGCCGCAATTTATTGAACGATAGCTCGCCAACTAAGAGCCCAGAGCTGCCCCTACCTACTCAGCTCCCCTACTCAAATGCGAATGCGCTCGCTGTGCGGCTTGGGGGGGAAACGAACAATTGGCTATGCATTTAAAATACAGAATGCGAAGAATATGCAAGAAAAAACAGACACAAACAAGCTAGAGCTCGAAAGACCAAGGAATATCTAGAAACTTTAGACTAAAAATAATTTTGAATTTTTACCCCTTGCGCCGGAAAAACACCAGGTACGGGACTCTGTCTTGCCCCGACTTGAACACCTCATTTTGGATATCATCGCGTTCCCCGCTGCCGATCCGGACCCTCGTGACGCGACTATCGTTGCAGCACAGCCACGCGTACGGGTCGTGCGTGCTCTGATCGCGCACATAGGCAAAGTAATGGCCATTGTCCGTCCGACTGCCCGCGTGCACAATGACGGCGTAGCACTCGTACCGAAACGGGCCCTCGTACGCGTGCTGGTCGCTCGTGCCAGGTGGCGGGCGGCCGTTGCCATGCTCGTAGAAGAACGGCGACACGTCAAAGTCATTAAAGTCCCACGTCACGGGGGCCGTCGACTTTTTGATGTCGCCCGTGGCCTGGTTGTAGTTGAAGCGGCGAAAGCAGACGCAGAGGAGCGGCGGCAGCCGCGCAAAGGAGATGGACTGCATGGCGCGCGTGTTACGGCGGCACTTGTCGCACGAAAAGTCGTCGAGGGTGTTATTGGCAATGTGCTGGTGCAGCGACTGCTCCAGCGTCTGCCGCGTGCTGCCCAGCGCGACCGGCGCGGGAATCCACTCAAACGGGGAAAACGTGTACGTCTTGGTGTGGCAGTCGAGGCACTGGACCGTCGAGAGCTCCAGTCCGCGCCAGTACTTGTCGACAATGGATTCGTTGAACTGGAGGTGGTTGTACCAGTATTGGACGGCAGCGTATAGCAGCGGCTGCGACTTTGTGTTTGGCTGCAGAGCATTGCCCTTTCGGTTTCGACGGGAGTTGGTTTCGTCGTGCAGATGTTCCATGAGAAAGGACATGAATTCCTGCGCATCTTGTTGTTGTGTCCCACCAAATTGAGCATTTGAACGGCTCGTTTTGCATATATGCTGCGAGTAGTTCTGCTAGTCGTTAGTTTGCAAGGTTGAGAGGGAGAACAAGGATTCATTTACCATGAGAGTTTGGGCCTTCATGACTTCGAGATTGCCAGTACTCATCCAGTGGAATAAGTTAGACATGATGTTGATCATCAACTGAGCATGTTCTATCTTCTCAGTATCCTTCTTTGGTGCTCGATATTCTGTTTTCCATGTCGAATCAGACAATTCCTTCCCAAAGTCTGGTGACGCCAGAAGCGACTGTAGAGTGCTATTTGCGTAGCACCAATTATGTGGATTGTTCAGACCCGTATATAGCTTGGAACCATCCCCGGTCACCTGCTCCGGTAACTTCTTGGCTCGGACAGTTTGGCGGGGTGCCACCGGTTGCTCGAAGCGGTCAACTTCCTCCGATGTGTGAGACAAACTGCTATAACTGAGTCGAGGAACTGAAGGCGCCGGACGGGTCGGCGGTGAGGGTAGGTCATTATAAGGGTCAATATTGTGAAGGGTGCTATATCCCGGTGGTTGTTCACTTGAGGGCGACGAGGTCATAGACTCTTGCTCAGTCAAGACTGGAGGATAGCGGCGTAGGAAAGACTCTGTCGAACGATGGTAGTCAGGAGGTTGGTTGGCGTTCATATCTTCGTTCTCTAGAGTCTGCTGCCAAACTTTAACTTCGTCCGCACGCAGAGGCCGGATGTATTTCGATCGCTTGCGCTGGAAAGTTCCGCTTCGAGCCCGCGATGCTGGAGCAGGGTGGCTACTACTGAGGCTTGTGGCCTGTAGTGAGGCGGAGCCCATCACTTCAACCCACGCGTCTAAGCCGCCCTTCAGAATCCTTGGGGGTTGCTTGAGCTCGCGATCGTAGTTGAAGTGAGCGAGAGCGCGATGCAGAGAGACAATAACCATATCATCGGAGCTGCGCGGAGAACGAGGGATCTCTTCAGAGTCTTGGTCATAGAAAACAACGAGTTCGTACTCATTGCGGCGATCGAATTGCGACTGTTCCTGGTTGGGCGAAAGAACCAAGCTTTCTGTAATCTCCGATGCCGATATGTTGTCCCGAAGTAGGATACTAGCCTCGATACAAATCGTCGAGGAAGACATAATGTGGCCTTCGTCAAATTCAATACGAGAGCGGATATCTATTATCAGAACAGAGCCCGTCTGTTTCATGGCCTCAAATAGTGCCTCGGCCGTGATCGAGTCAGCCTCACCATTGGAGACGGGCTTGTGGAATGACGATTTACCACCAGTTGTATTGGTAGCAACAGGAGGAAAGTATTCCATGCTCTGCCGCGCAGATACCGGACTCGGCATGTTGCTGAGCGAAGGGGTTGGGGCCGCACGGCTGTGCGAACTTCGGGGTGTAGTGGCTGGAGGACGTCCGACATCGCTGGAGACACTACCGCGAGCTGGATGATATATAGCATCCGGCATCTTAGGTAGTGACGGTACTCCGTTTGACAGGTTTGCCTGTGACTTTGGAGGCGACGACGGCATATCTCGGGGGCCGGCGGGTTTCAATTGTAGAATTGGATGAGTCTTGATGCGCGGATCCTGTCCAGGTGTGGTCTGGGGTCCTCGAAGGTTTGCAAAGCGTGCTGCTAGGTCGACGACACTGACATTATTGGTCGACGATGATCTTGCATGACCAGGAACGGCCTTGCCTTGGAGTGATTGGGGCTTTGGCTGCACCTTAGGCTTGACCTTGCCCGATGCATTCACCGCGGGGCCGCCGCCGGTGGGTGTGGATAACGTCGCAGACGAATGAGTGCCATTTGTTTGCAAAGATTCTGATCTCCGTGCTTTTGGGAGCACGCCGGTCCTCTTATTGTCCGCTAGTATGTCCTTTTTGATCTGGTCGTAGATATCGCTCTGCTGTTTAATACGGGTCATCAACGCGGTGTGCTTTTTAGCCAGTTCGTTGCGTCCATCCTTCAGCATCAGATAGTCTTTGTGGTGAGACACTAGCTGGACCGTGATAATCGAAGCGCGGATGAAGTCCTTCAAGGCCAGGGCTGGTCTGTTGAAGTCGCGGCTCATCTCGGATTGGCGCAATGACATCTCGGCCTGCTCGAGCAGCCACTTTATTGGCTTGGTGCCATCTACGTCGCTTGGCAGTGCGACTACATCGTCGATATGAGGCAAGGCGGGTTTACCGCCGGCGCCATTTGTGGCCTGGCCATTGAAGCCTGCTGGAAGGCTGTATCTTGGGTTGGCGGCCATGGACAGCCTGTCCCCCTGCCGACGACCGGAGAGCGTCGAGCGGGGACTGCCTAGACAATTAGATCGATTGATTTGTAGAGCGGTCTATAGTCATCGTATTCTCGGACCGTGACTGTGGCTATCGACGAGGTTTTGATCGTGTATCGGGAATGGGAATCGTCTCTGTGCTGCGACTGGGTTACGGCGGGTGGAGATGGGAGATTCGGGAGGCTGCCGGGGGCGATGACAGGTATGAGGATAACTCGCTTTCGTGATAGTAAATCGCTTATGGGATGAATTTGAGGGACAATAAAGACGCGCTACCGCGATGCTCGACATGGAAGTAAAGGAATCTATGTAGTAGAGGCCATGAACAAACATGTGGTGCGGGCCAATTGGGGGCAACATACATGTAGGTAGCTGACGGCAGTGTGGGGTTGATTAAGGGTGCGGGAAGCTCAGCAGGAGGGCGGTACGCGTGGCCCGCGGGGTAGGCGCGGCAAGTAGCAAGTACCGACCTGAGGTTGGCAACTGCTGTGCCCTAACTTACCCAGACGGACCACTGTAACACGGATACCTTGCGTACGTACCTACATAGGTAGGTACCTGGTCTCATTGTAACCAGCTTAATTGCGGCGCCACAGTGGTCAGGCGGAGCCCTGTAAGATTCTTCTAGAGCGCTGAGTCCGCCCGGTCGCCCGATTCCATTGGGCTGTCCCGTGCCGGAGAGGCACCCTGAAATGCGAGGCTGGTTGGTTGGATGGCTAAGCCCAGCCTGCCTTCTGCCCTTCTGACGCAACGCCACCTGCTGTGGGTCGCACCACAACATACGTCGTCACCGCGTGGAGGCAAGCTAATGTATCGTGCCTAGAACATTGACCTTGACTCAAGCTCGTCTTCACCTCCGCAGCCCTCGCCTTTCAACGGCCTTTCCCATCGCCACCGCTGATTTTGCATCGACTTCTGTTCTCCAACGACTCCTACAACCGCAGCACTGCATTCCCGCGCGGTACCGAGCGAGCCGCCCGTACACTCATTTCAAAATGATGTCCTGGTGGTCGTCGTCGGCCAACACGGCTCTGGACGAACAGATTGAAAAGGCCACTGGCAGCAGCCTGTACGCGCCTTCAGCCACCCTCAAGATATGCGCTAACTGTCCCTTTAGCGAGGACATCGCCCTCAACCTCGAAATCTCCGATGTCATTCGATCCAAGACGGTGGCGCCGAAAGAGGCCATGCGCAGCCTCAAACGTCGCATAGGCAACAAAAACCCAAATACACAAATTAGTGCTTTGAATGTATAAGAGCAAGCTCTCACAAAATATAACGCCTTCATAACTAATCATGCCGCAGCTCACCGACACGTGCGTCAAGAATGGTGGCTCCCATTTCCTGGCCGAGATTGCCTCTCGCGAGTTCATGGACAACATGGTATCGCTTCTTCAAGCTGTCGGAGCAGGTGCAGTCAATGCCGAGGTCAAGTCCAAGATCCTTGAGTTCATTCAGTCTTGGGCCGGAGCCACTGAAGGCCGCTATGAGCTCTCGTATATCGGAGAAGTGTACCGAACACTCCAGCGCGACGGCTATCAATTTCCACCCAAGATTGCGGTTGCGAGCAGCATGATCGACAGTAACGCGGTATGTTGACGGCTTCAAAGCGCTACCAAGCAGGCCGAGACTGACAAGCTACCAGCCCCCGGAATGGGCCGACTCAGAGGTTTGCATGCGGTGCCGCACCGCCTTTACCTTTACGAACCGAAAGCACCATTGCCGCAACTGTGGAAACTGCTTCGACCAACAGTGCTCGAGCAAGACTGTTGCGCTTCCTCATCTTGGAATACACACACCGGTTCGGGTCGACGACGGTTGCTATGCGAAAGTCACCGGTAAGGGCTACAAGGAGCTAGGTCCCTTGCAAGATCGCTCGCCTACATACCCGCACAAGACCAAGAGCACCACAGCTATGCAGCCGCGCAATGCTCGTGTCGAGGACGACTTTGACGAAGACATCAAGAAGGCTCTGGCTATGAGCTTGGAGGAGGTCAGCGGCCCGACCAAGGGCAAGGTTTCCTTGCCAATCAACGGTAACAAACCCAACGACTCAGCTACCGCGAAGCAAGCCGAGGAGGAAGATGCCGACCTGTGCGCTGCGATTGCTGCATCGTTGGCCGATATGGAAGAGCAGAAGCAAAACCACAGTGCTGCGCTGAAGCAGCAAACCGCACCACCTTCCGGGACCACGGCCAACACATTTACCATGCCCAAGAACGAGTACGAACTCACCCCCGTCGAAGCCGAAAACATCAACCTATTCTCCACGTTGGTCGACCGCCTTCAGACGCAGCCTCCCGGCACGATTCTTCGAGAACCCCAAATCCAAGAACTATATGACAGCATTGGCACGCTGCGGCCGAAGCTCGCCCGCACATACGGCGAAACGATGAGCAAGCACGGTACGTCTGCCACTCATAGCGAGCTTTATGCAGTGCCTAACAAGTGAGTATAGACGCATTACTCGATTTGCATGCTAAACTGTCAACTGTTGTGCGATACTACGACCGGATGCTTGAAGAGCGGCTATCTAAGGCGTACAGTCAACAACATCTCGGTTTCAGTCCAGCTCCTGTCCGCCACCATGCCGGGCCGTATCCATCCATCTCGGCACAAAATACGGGCAGCGCGCACGGAGAGTCTTTCTACACTGGGCAACAGCCAGCTTACCCGTCCATGCGAAACCCCAATCTACATCAAGCACAACCAAACCAGCCCCAGTTTGCACCATATGGCGCAAGACCTGACTTGGCTCAGGGTCGTTATCCATCGATGCCGCAGCAGACAGAACCGAACCCGATGCAGGCATCACATCAGCCTCACATGTCACCGTCTGCCGATCCGAATTTGGCGTATTATGCCAATCCTAGCGCGCCTCCCCCAGTGCAATCTCCGTCCGGCCCATCAGCACCCGGCCCTGTGCCAGATGCTACGCAGTCACCATACCCTAACCTCCAACAAATGCAATACAACCGCGGATCAGTATCATCTCAGACACAGAGTACCCCTGTGCCAGCGCAAGCGCAGCCGTCTCAACCGCCTCCCCAGACACAGCAACCTCCTCAGCAAGCTGTGCCGAGAACCCATCAGCAGCCCTACTGGCAGCAGGCGGCCCACACGCCGGCGCCGGCGCCATCGCAACCGGCCCCTCAGAGCTGGGGATACGCTGGGCAGCTCCCCTCTGTCCCGCAGCATGAGCCCGCGAGGCAACAGCCCGCACAAGAGGAAGCACTTATCGAACTGTAGTATGGGACACCTGAGGTCTGCTGCGGCTCACCTGCGCAACGAGCTATCGCGAAGAGTGTCGAACTACCGAGTGTCGGATAGTCCGAATCATCGACGGCGTTTTTGGGAAGTTATTTTGATCTTGTTTACACTACCAACCAAGGCAGAGAGATATGGACCAGCGTATAACGCTATACGTACAGTAGTCGGATAGAGATGGAGTAGCCGCAATATGCATATCCAATAGGCTATCATAATATACCACGTTGAAAGGCTAGGCCGTCACTGACAGCTACTTTGCGATGCGCGGACCGGATCAAACTCACCCATGCGTTTCTCTTCTTGTCTCTTCTTACAAGTCATTTCTTTCATAGCCGTTTACTTCTGACGACTGCATCTCCTCGGCCGAGCTTGACGCTATACAAAACGTGGGGCACTTGACAGGTTTACAATGTCTACAATGCCGCTTGGCCCCAAATATACCAGTATATACATGCACTAATACATTTCCGCGGCCCTCGTTTTCCTGCATAGCCGTGGGCTAGCGGCCAAGGTTCGTATTGGTCCGGGTTCCGTAACCGCAACAAGAGAAATCCCCTCCGCGGTGGGGGGGAAGGTCGCGATCGGAGCAAGTCCAGTCACTGACGAGGCCGTCTTCGGCTGTGGTTTGTAATGTTGGACAATTGGCGGCATTGTGCGGCATTGTGCCCAATGACCCGCATTAAAAAAACTTGCCTGGTGTGCTCGATCGGTGACTGGGTGCCGCGCTGTCGTTGTTTTAAGAGCCGATGATGCACTTACTTGACTTGTCCAGGGTTTTCTGTTCTTTGCTACTCACTCATATATCCAATCACCCATTTCTTGTTTCCATTCACTCACTTCTCAATCCGCCAACGCCGCATATATATATCCTTCTTCCTCTCATCCACCTCCCCTCATTCCAAAATCGCGCAGCCGAACACAACCCCCCCCCCCTCCTCCCTCCCCGCGGTCAACTTTCACACATCACCGAAAAAAAACAGGCACATCACATCACCATGACCCCCACCATTCACCTCGTCCGCCACGCGCAGGGCTACCACAACCTGAGCGTCGAAAACGAGAAGCTGCACGATCCGGACCTGACGCCGCTCGGCGAGCAGCAGTGCCGCAATCTCCGCGCCGCCTTTCCCCACCACGCCCGGCTCACCCGCCTCGTCGCCTCGCCCATGCGCCGCACGCTCTGGACCTGTATCCGGGCCTTTGGCGGCGACGGCGACGGCGGGCCCATCGTCGCGCTCGACACCCTGCAGGAGCTGTCAGACCAGCCGTCGGACACGGGCTCGGCCGTGGCCGTCTTGGCAAAAGAGTTTGGCGACGCGGCGGACCTGAGCCGCGTCCGCGACGGCGTGTGGACCGACAAGCTGGGCGACACGCCGTTTGAGCCGACAAAGGACAAGATTGAGGCGCGCGCGCGCGAGGCGCGACGGGCGCTGCGGGAGCTGGCCGGCGTCCACACGGACGGCCACATTGTGGTGGTCACGCACGGCGCGTTCCTGCACTTTTTGACGGACGAGTTCCAGGATCTCCCCAACGGAGGCGGTACGTACATTCTGGCCGTTTTTTTTTTTTGCTAGGACATTAGCACGACACATGGCTAATATGTGTATAGCAACCAGTTGGGAAAACTGCGAGTACCGCTCGTATCAGTTTGCCGACCCCACGGGTGCCGACGACGGCGCGGCGATTGTCGAGACGGACGAGAGCTGGCAACGCCGACGCGGCGACAAGCCCCGTCTCTCGCAACACGACCTGGATGAGCTCCGATCCGTGGCCCAGAGCCGCATTGTACCTCGCCTCAAGTCCAGTGTGCGCCTGTGAGGGATGGGTGGACGATAGAGTCATGTGTGCTCAAGAATTAGATGTTTATTTTCGAGATTGCGTTGCTGCTGATAGATGATATATAGAGCTAATAGAGGTCATCTAGTTTAGAGAAAGCTAAGCAACAGGGCTATTGTTTATGAAGAAGATCACTTTTTATACATTTTCTCAGTATGGGGAACACATTCGAGGATCGTCTAAATCCCTTCTTCCCAAAATGTCCATGGCCGCCATAATTTCCTTCCACTTGGTCTCGCGTATCGTTTGTAAAATGAGCGAGTAGCCAAACTCAGCTCGGGTGTCTTTCTGCAGAATGCATTGGCAATAACACTTGGCAGCGGGGTCCTTACTCTTCAATAGATCTCTGGCGGCTACATCAGCAGAGTCTCCATTCTCCTAATGCAGCAGAACTCCAGAGATGTAGGGCAGATTAATTTTGAACAAGTCGCGCAGTTGGAACAGTTGTTTCTTTTCAAAGTTCTCTCGACGTGTGTATACAACCCGAGCAAATAGTTCGAATTTGACGCCTGGTTGATTCTTATACATGGACTCTTTTGCTTCCAACATCTCTCGAATATGGAACCAGGTTTTGTAGGGGCGAAGTATCATCCCAGCCGGTGCGGCAACGGCCGTTGATGGTGGTGTCGCTGGCTGGATTCGAGGTGATGGTTCTGCGGAATTAATCGCAGCACGACCGTTGACGCAACTTGGCGTTCGGTGGTTGTATCTATCCCGAAGTTGGTTTTTGACGTAGTCCCAACTGATGTCGTCGCTGACGCCTTTGTCGCAGCTGGTTATCTCGTCGATAGCGGGAGAGGTCGACTTTGGGGGCGAAAATTGCAGGGTAGGGTCAAATTTTGTCGTGTTCGTCGACGTGGAAATATTGTCAAATTCGCGTAGAACACTTGATGGCGGCTGCTTCTCGTCCGGAGAAGGCGGGAGACTGATAAATTGCCAGACATCATCGCCGAAAACTTGGGCTCCGGGCTGCTTGGCCAGTATAGGTGAGTTATGAGCAGCTAGTCGATTCAACTCAAAGTCCGCATTGTCAAATTCGCTATCTGGAAAGTCGTTCAAATCCGAAAAGTTGTCTCCGTCGACACCGTTTGTCCTGGCATAGGTGTCTGGTGCTAGGGCCTTGCTGTGAACATCTGGGGCATCGTACAAGCCGTCCCGGCGAAAGGTGTCTCTTTTCGCCTCATGAAGCTCCTGGAACTGGTCTGCGTTTATCGTGAGCTTCCTTTTCCCACTGTTTGGCTTCTGAGAAGGTTCAGGGGTATACATGGCTTCGTTTGCAGGCAGTGAGCCGGTGTGGTGGTTTGCGACTTTAGCGTCCGTATTAATGCAAGCCATTGTACATAGAGAAAGTCTCAATCTGAAGCTTCCCCATGAATCTAGAATGAATTTTTCTTTGAAATGTATTTCTCCCGAGTGGTAGAAGGGGGTAAATTCTGCAGAAGCCAGGCGGTTCGCTGATTCGCCAGGTAGGCGAGAGCGCCTTGGCCACACCGTTATCAGCGTTCGCGAGGAAGGAGCAGCTCGTCGCCAAAATGCCCCCTATTCTTCATGCCTATTATTAAATAATGCGTTCCTTCGAATTGAATCACTGTGCTTATAGCAATGTGTACTTTGGACAAACCACACAACCCGATGGCAATCCTCTTTCTGGTACGCCTCAATCAGCAGCAGGGCAAGCCACAAAAAACACCGACGAAGATCTGACACAGAATCTGGAACTGACTTTGCTAGGCGGGCGAAAATGCCAGATCTGTCTCACCAAAAACTGGGTACATATAACTATCGCGTCTCTATCGGGCTATAAAGATACCTGCAGCCACCAGTCAGCCTTGGAACAGTCAACTACACAAGTGGCTGGGATCGTTCCATGATGGCGTGGTGGTGCCATTTGAGCGACATGAGGCTGCCAACCACTTGTGCTGAAGGATTCATGGCAGATCCAGTCGACAAATTGGAACGACACTGCACCAGCTTCCATCGCAGCCGGCTGATTTGGGGAGGGTGTCGTCGTCCTGCCCCGCCATCCGAGGCACATACCAAGCATCCAAGCTCATCTGATCACTGCGTATCGCCGTCAGGAATGGGTGGCCATCGGGCCCATGAATACACACACCCCTCCCCTCCTTGCGTCTCTATCGGGGCCTCGCCGTTGCCCGTCGTACCAACCCGTTTTTGCCTTCACTTATAGTCTAGCCTGGCCACGTCTTATTTCGACGCCAAGGCTAGGCTTTGGATTTGCTCCGTCGCCCGTTGCTACTTGGCACGCATCATCAAGTGAGAAACTAACATTTCTAATATTTAGATTAGGTAGCCCGCAGAATTACTTCGCTCACGATGCGCTGCCGTTGAGCACGACAGCATCTCTCCACGGACCGAGCACACTATGGGGCACGAAATCTACAGCGGTTATGCACCAGGCCCTGCCAATCGAGCGACGAGTAATGCAAGATAGATGCGTGCTGCACATGGGGGTAACATGCATGAGCGGCAGACATAATGCAGCCTTGGACTCCGCAACGCAACATCGAAATGGCGCTGCCACACCAGGTGCCAGCGGAGCCGATGCTTGTCACCACACAACAACGGGCGGCTCGCAAACATTCCGAGCCATCTTGAGCAATGAAGGCGTATATCGAGACCTGAGAAATTATAGTTGCCCTCTGCATGCACATGCCCCCAACTCGCACAGCCATTTTCGCCTCAAAAAGCTCCCTTGCATCTATGGTCTGCAAGCAATGAACCCACCCCATCCACACCACCATGAAGCCACGCAGCGGGTTAGCTAAAAAGAAGGCTGGTAGCTGTTCACTTGTGTCATAAAGATGGGGTACGTAGAGAATCTGCGGGATATTTCATCAAAGCAAACGATATTTGAAGGAGTAGCAACTACGAGAGGAGCAGCAGAAGCAGCAGCAGCAGCAGAAGTAATAAAGAAGTTGATGAGCAAATACGCCGCTAGTTGCGCCAAACAAAGAACAAGCGAAACTCAAAAATCTCCCGAGAGGTATCTTTTTTTTGGGGAATATATTACTACGCTAGTGTCCGAATCGCGTCTCGCTTGTCACACCCATCAAGAGCCTTGTCATAAGCCGCGTAGCAACTTAGCCACCACCCACTTACACGAGCACAACGCACAACGCACACACGATGCCACACGACAAGGAATGGAGATGACGGCATCGCAGCTCATGAGTCGGTCTTCCAGCACTCTTCGGCCACTTTACGCGCTGATGCCTTTTGCCACAGCTAGAGCGGCCAGCCCTAGCAATGGCGATCTGGCTAAGTCTTGCCAGTTGTTTGTCCTCCGCGATGACCGGCTGATGTAGTAGCATCGCCAGAAACAGTATTAAGCTTCGAGCATGGTTCTTCAGGCAAGCCCCGCTACCATGAATTTAATCAAGATTTCTACGATATCGGAACATATAACTGCGTAATCGAGCCGGATGTGGAACCGCCGTGTCACTCACCAAATACCAAATAATGCCCAGGATATGAGCTATAACCAGCTTCCAGACCGGGACTTCAATCGACAGATCCATGTTCGTCGCTGTCTGAGCTGATGCGCTACATTTTACTTGGCCACGATGTGTTTGCCTGAAAAGTACAAGCTGCCCAATCTGGGCGGGATGCAGATTTTATTAGCCGCGATATCCCCTCGTGTTACCACACCGCCGACCGCAAACCCACCCTGCGGCCTTTGATCCCCAGGTTTATTGGCCGCACTGCAGCGACGACACCCCGGTCGTGATCCCAAGCCCATTCGCCCACGGGTCACCCAGCCCCGAGGAGCTGTGTACCCGGTTCAGGGAAGACGCGCTAGCATGCACGAGTGGTGTGCCGTGTGAGACAAGCAGCTCGTCTCCCACTGATGCACGAGGTAGCGTGACATGACTTCCCCCAGAGCCCGGAGCTGTAGCCTTGCTGTAGTAGCAAGTATACCAGAGAGGTTTGTGGGGAGACTTCAAGCAGCGATGTAGCACACGCTGCGACCCGTTCTCCGCGCCCATGGGTGGTGGTAAGTTGGAAACGACAAGGTGAAAAAGAACTCAAATGACAATTTTATTTTGTCTCCTCCGTCATAAACATAAGCTTCATATGTAGTCAATCAAGCATCGGCGGCTTGTATATCCAGGGAAGAAAATAAAAAGTATGGTTCAAGTCTCGTCCCTGCAAGGCGACCACAGCAAACCCCAATGTCCATGACTGACCAACTTCCTCAACAAGGAAGCCGAGACTCGCAGAGCAAGAGAAAGAAGAAAGAAAAGGAAGAACAATAAAGTAAACCATCATGTGAGAGCAAGTCATTGTGGGAGAGGGCAAATCATAATGGGAACCGCAGTGGCCGTCCATTCAAATCTGGGCCAAGCAAAAATAAAGGAAAGTAATTCAAATCAACATAAAGGCATCAGAATCGTAAAATTTGAAATGGCAAAAAAGAAGAAGTGTAAAAAAAAAGCAAGTCTAAAAAAAGGGTTCGTTTCGTTTCGTCATTAAGTCGTAAGTGTGTTGGCATAAACATCAATCGGATCGCTCGTTTGCTTTTCTTTATTTCGTCGCAATTCATCCCATCTTGCGTTTCGACAAGCGGGGGCCGTGTGAGTGTGTGAGTTGTGTGTGTTCCCCAAGGTAAATGGTAATACGCAGCAGAAAAGCAAGAAGCCACGGGTCATTCCAAACATGTTGTGCTTGGAACGCTGTGAAGTCTTTCAACCACCTATAAGGCTTTGCTTTGTGCTTTGCTCTCTCTCTCTCTCTCTCTCTCTCTTTCTTTTCTTGTTTCTCCCTCGCGGGCATATTTTTTTCGTCTCGTTCCACACTGAGACCCCGATTCGCAAACAGATGTTGTGGCTGGCCCTGGAAACCTCTTCAGCGTTGTACAACGCCGCCAGGTTCATCAATCAGTATCCACTGCTGTATACGTTTGCGCCGCCCACTCCCCGCATGTAATTAACAAGACGAGACAACGGGCGTATGCCCTGTCGGATTTCTTGCTAATCAAACGAAGCAGTCGAGCTGCTGCTTGAGTGGTGACCCGACCGTCGCCCTCCACTGCCCTGGTCGGAGCTGTCGCGAGACGACGTCGTGTGGCGGCTCCTCCGTCGTCGACTGCTCTCTGCGGCGGCGGGCAGACCTTGGACGATGCCGTTGCGGGCCAGCATGCCCCCGTTGACGGAAAAGTTGCGGCAGACCATGAACGCACGCATGGCAGCGTTTTCCTGGGCCAGCCCATCCGACTCGTACGACAGATCGGTCTGGTACTCGCGTCCGTTGACAAGGACGTGGCACGTGAAGCCATTTATGTCGCGGTAACATTCGTAGGCGGGGTCCGTCCATCCACGGCGGCGGCAGAGGCCTGGAAAAGACGCTCGGTTAGTTTGGGAGGTGACTCGAGCATGGTATGTAAAACATCTCGAAGGGGAGGGGTGGGAGGTTAAGTTTGCGCCGGGCTGTTGAGAAAACACGCGGGCATCTTCCCGAGAACCAAAAGAGTTGCTTGCACAAGACGCAAGCAATGTTGTACACTGCAATGACCGCCATTGGTGACTTACTTTCCAGGTACTGCATATAAAAACCAGCCATTGTGAAACCAGATTTACACAATCGCCGTTTGCAATGTAAAAGATTGAAGAGCCGCAAGAGATCAAGCCGGCCGCAGAGAGAATATATCGGCGTCGCCTCAGAGGCTGGTGTACTTGGAGGGGGACTTTTGGCGTGGGTGGCTATTCTAGTTTCTGCTCCACCAATTGGGGCAGGAATTGCGCTCGTGAAAGTCGTCGTGTTGCTGCAAAGGAACAGCAAGTCGGGCACCCAATGTCAACGGGCAAAGATCAAAACAGAAAGTGACAAGAAAAGTATCAACAAGAACAAAGGCCGAGTAACGAGACTGGCATCGGGGGAGAGAAGCGAAGAGTGTAAAAGAGGTCGGTCTGTCAATGTGTGTCTGGATGGTCTGGTCGTGGTGGCGGAAGATCGGGGGAAAGGCGTGTATATATGTAAGCGATTAAGGGTTCCGGCAGTAAAGAAAAAAACAACAGCACACACACAAACCAACGGTATGTGCAGTAGCGCAGGGCTATTTTAATTTGCAAATCGGTACAGCATTATCATCATGAGTCCATTAGCGTGCACCCGGGGAGGGGAGGGGTGTGCAAAGTATGGCAACGCGCGCGCCGCGGCGTACTGGTAGAGAGATGCAGCCAGGCCAGAGAAAGAACGAGGCCAGCCAGGGAAAATAATGGCGAGCAGGCGACTGCGGCTCTCGACTGAGTGTGACCCATCTTGATGTGTTGGCGTAGCTAGTTGCCAGTTGATACACGGCCACTCGAGCCTAGGACGCTCCACCGCGGCGCATGGCAAGGGCAGGTCGCCTTCGGCCAGCACAGAGAGGCAAAAGAGAAAACCAAATCATTTCCATCGAGACGGGCCATTGCCTACTCAATTCTGCTCCCATGAGTTCCCGGTCGAATAGGCGCGAATGGCAACGCAAGCGAGGTGAGTCGTCACCTTGCCCTCTGCCGTTTCGTATGAGACGTCATTTTTATACAGAGTCCCCCCCGGCTTGCGTCTGAGAGCGCGACTCGGGAACTGTTCAATCTTTTTGCTGGCTCCGCAGCAAAAGCCCGCCCACCGCTCCAATGGGGCCGTTTGGCCGCCGTTGGTACTGTGCTGGCCAAACTTGCTAGACAAGAAAACTCCACCCCAATATGGCTTCCCATGCAGCTGCCAGGAATAACCATCTGTACGCCGTCTGTTGTGGTGCCGCGGTGGCGAGTTGGAACTAACTACTGGAGACCCGACTAAGTGGCCCAGACGCCGACATACTTGCCTGCTATATTAGACGGTTTTAGCATAATTGCTGCGAGCGGCTTGCTTGACGGCATATACCAGTGCAGAATCCATGGTAGACGCCGGACCCCAAGAGATCTCTGTGCAGACGGAACCTGTAACTGATCGCAGCGCAATTCGCACAAGGGCCACCACGCCGCGTCTTTTCTCCAGAGTAGCGCACTTTCGTGCATGTGTACACTGTTAATAGCTGCCGACATGTTTCGCGCACAAGAAAATGGCAGACGTCCAGTAATATTCTCCGCTCTTGCCGTCGTGTCAAGTAATACCACATATTCGGGCGCGAATTGACAAAGTTTGACAGACGCAGCGGCGCTGGAATGATCCCATCCGTGCTCGCTCAATTGGCACTTCCGACTGGCCGGATTCCTGGGACTGGCGTATCGCCAGAGATCCTGTGCAAATCTAGCGGGGAGCACCGACAAGGGGGGGCTGGCACTGAGGTTTGGCGACCCCAGTAGGTCTACGGAGTACAGACTCCATATTCCTTGGACCAAGTCCTGGTTGCACTAGTTGAGTTCTCGCGCGCGGTGCAATATCAGAAGGAACACGTCAAATCAATGGCTGGCTTCAACTCCGCAGCAGTTCACAGTCAGTGACCTGCCAAGGGTCGGGGTTGATGCACCAAGTATACCCATAGCTATCTGCGGTGGCCGGGTCTAGCCAGCGTATGTACAAGGGCCCGGAGTGTACATACATCCTCAGACGCGAACAGGTCGAGGTCGGTGAGCAGTAGAGGAAGGCCCTCTGTTCTCTCCCATACCACCTCAGGTTAATAACCAAAAGGCTTGTGCATGAACAGCCTGTGGAAACTTGAGAAGGTGGCTGGGAGGTGGATTATGGTGGATCGTTAGCTTGGCCACTGGTGCAGCTGGCACCGTCACTGCTACTTTCTGCACTTTGGCTGGGTGTGGGTGTCGTGCTATTGGACCCTGCTGTTCTTGTTTTTCTGCTTCGATACTGTGTGTGCCATCAGCCCACGTCTTTTTTCCTACAGGCCCGCCTCACTGACCTGAGGTTGAGATGAGGTTATGTCGTGATACACCAGTAGACGGGCAAGTGGTGGCGGCAAAGCGCATGGCCGCCTCCCTCATTTTCCGAGTGAAGAAACCGGTGAGCAAGGCACATATGATTGGCTGCCTTGTCAATGGAGGGGTGTCGCGAGGCACTCGTGTCAATGGCCCTGCCTGCTGTCTGAGCCCTCAACCCCCGCCCAGATGCAATGATGTGTTGGCAGTGCTGCTGGGTATAATATCAACAGCCAAATGAGTGCAGGGCACGCCTCATGGGTTGCTACTTCACCATGTGCCTATGGACATGAAGGCGTCGTGTGGCGCGCGGGGTCAATTGCCAGCAAGTTAACAGCACGCGAAAGGGCCGCTTGGACGTCGGCGGCGCCGTCAACGCTGATGATCGTCATGTCCCATGGGCCTGGCACCAATATATGTACAAGTATATGTGCAAAATACGTGCCAGTAATTATGCACATGCAAACATATATTCCATAATCAGGGAACCTAAGTTCAGCGGATCGTGTGCATGCGCCGGCGATGGGCATGACGTGATGAAATCGGATGCTCAATTGCAGTTGGTAGAATGTAGTTTTACTCGGTACCCTTGTGGAATGGCCTAGAAGACGTCGGATTTTCTAGATTGACGTGATGCTCGCTGTTCTGGTCTTTTTGCCCTCGGTTTGCACAAGTATAATCGTATCCTGGAAGCTGAAAGGGCATGCAAACACACTAGTGCCTGGTACCGTGGACGGATAATTCATTGGCTATTATATCTCGTGCTGGTAGATTCGGGCATGTTGAGGTAATGCCGACCGGCCTTTTGGCTCTGCGTAAAAGTGACCTGCCACCCATAATAATGCTGGGAAAGTCCAGGCAAAGACCCGGCCAACCGGCGTAACTAGCAAATCGGTTGTTTGATGGCTGGGTGGGCACAGGCAGCAGATGCGCGTTGGTGTTATTCAATTTGGCAGCTCGTCATGAGCGAATCAGGCACGACAGCCGCTTCCATTGTGGGCAATTCCGAATTGGCGGTGGACTTGCGTGCCTGCTTTTATGGGCGCCGTTTTCTTCGCGCCGCACTTGCCATCGCTTTACTCCTCTGTATGTGCGGTGTCTTTGTCTCGGTTCTTGGGACGAGAGACGATCCTTGGCAGGCAAGATCCAATAGGCGCCAACATGGGGCCGGTTGTGCATTAGAGCATGAAATATAGAAAAAAGGGTTTTGTTCGATGTGTTTCATCTAGGCGCCCGTAAAAGCCATCAACCCCACGTTTGGAGAGTGCTAAGAATACTATCTTTTGCTTTTTGGATAGTTCCTCTTTGGCTTGGCTTCTTGTAAAGTCGTTCTATACGGCGGCGGTAATCCGTTGTGTTTGGTTCGTTGATGCTGGCGGTGCGTCAGCAGTGCTCCAAACTTTGTGTAGCGTACCCGTTAGTGGATAATGAAGGAGTTGGATGCTTGGCGAGGCGTTGGCGGAAAAAGGAAAAAGGAAAAAGGCAAAAAGGAAGCCGATAGATGAACTTGCAAAGAGGTCCTTGGAGGGGGGGTGCGTGGGACGACAGGGCGTGTGTGTTTGTAGATGGGAAGAAGCTAGTTTTAGCCTGGTCGATGGTTGCTGCAGGTGAGGGGCTGTCTTCGCGGTAGGAAAGTCGAACTCGCTTCAAGAGAGCTGCCCAGGTACCCCTAGATGGACTGATGCAGTCACCTTGGAGCATAATAATAAAGTACCGCCTTCATCTGGACCGCGATGCTCCTGTAGCCCGCCTGCACCCCGTTCTGCACCAGGATATCAAAAGTGAGGGGTCCGTCTCTCTGCTCGTCAAGGAGGGGCGCTGGAGGGGCAAGGCTTGGAGGGGACCAGCCAGCAATCGAACTAGAATTATTCCACGGCTCGAGTCATTGGCTTCCAGTGTGCCAGGATGACACGAGGCAATGCTATGCCTCACAGACCAAGTCCTTAAGTTTCTAGAATCCCGAAATTACCGCCATGGCCTCGTCAATGGCACCGCGAGGTGGTTCTACGCGGTGCCGTCACCGTTACCGTCCACCAAAGACCCCCCCTCTCGGTGGCGTCCTGCGAGTGATTGCAGCAGATGTGCTTCTCCATCGGAATAAAACAACAACAACAACAATAACACGATCGGAAAAATCAGAAAAAAATCATCCAACTAGGGTGTCCGCAGTAATCACCAAGTCGCCACCAGGCCGCCGCCCACCTTGCTGCTGAGGGCCGGCCTTGTACGAGGCCAAGTCCTCGATGAAATGGTAACGTATCGTCGTACCATGAAGATGCACATTGCCGTCATCAACTCGATACCTTTCGCTTCCAACATCTCTAGCCTGTCGACTTGTCTCTGTCTCTGTGCTCAAAAGAGAGCGCACCAATGGCTTTATGGTGCCCCCAAAACCTTTGAGCCCATGTCGGTAGATGGCTTTTTGGGGGATTTGCCCACGCCACCCGCCAGCCAGCAGCCAGCAGCCAGCCAAGTCCCAGCCGCCGGCTGCATTTGCCCTACTGCAGTAAACAATCGGCAACTTCTTCCATAAAAGATAAACCATATGCCGGTCCACTTGCACAACTTTAAAAACATGTGCATCTCGTATGCTCATCTGTTATTCAAAAGTCATTGTCTTGTCTGCCACCACAGGGGCGCAAGAAGCTGCAACCGCCTACAGTCTCAAGAGAAAAGGGCGGGTTGCCATCAAGACTCAGCAACAGACTACCGGCTACGCAAGTCCGCTTGGAGCCCATATCAACTGCCAGCGCATCATCCACAGCAAAGGCAAAAAGACTCGGCCTCGCCGCACTAAATAGATGCAGTAGCTAGGCCCCCGTCTTGCCTGCCTGGCTGCTGCATCATCCGTCCTGCTTTGCAGCCCCGGAAAAAAAACACTCGCGTCTCGACCTGCACCAGGACCGACTACACTGTTTCGCGCAACAGTCGACTAGTAACTACCTATGCACTGATGGGAACTCATGGTTTTTGTTTCCTGGGTTGGGTCTACCAGATGCAACCACCTTGGCAGATACGGCACGCTGCCGTCTGTACACCCTCTGTGTTCCGCGGGGAGTTGCGGGCGCCCGTCGTGGCGAGAAGGCTGGCGATGGTGCGGCATTGGCTCTCTCTCTCTCTCCGCAACAAGGGTTTGCCTCTTTCGATTTTTCTTCTCTGGCAAATTTCTTCCGACTTTCCACAGCGGGGCCCACGCTGCATCATGCATTTGACATGTTTCTTCGCTCGCCCAGCTCCGGCCTGTTGAAAGACAGCCTGCAGATCCTGACTCAACGCCCGCCACAACTGCACGCGAGTGAGATACACGCCCCTTGTCATGGAACGAATATTTCGCCTTCCTTCTAGGGCCAATTCTCGCTTTGCATATTCCGTCTCTCGGTTCGCGGGAGAGAGAAGAGGGGGGCAAAATGTACCTTCTCTGCGCGGGCAGCATCTCCCTCAGCCCATGTTCATCACTTGTCATTCTGTGCACGGTGGACTCACTCGTGGATGTACGTAAACAAATTTGGTAAAATTTCTCTTTGTTGCTTCTTTTTTCCAATTTGGTCGCGTATTCGTACGCCAGATTCCGTGGCTTCCAAAGTCCCTCTCCGTCTGCTCACCCTCCGTTCGCTTTCTTGGGATAATTTAACTCGCCCCAATGTTTTGATGCGTTGGCCATATGTAGCTAAGGCAAGCCGCCCACCTAGATGCGTCCATGCAAGTGAGCTGTCTTCCGGCGAATGGTATCGTGGATTTTTGAATTGCTCAAAGCATTGCCAATTTACACCATTCACGACCTGTTCGTCGATGCAGTCTTGGTTCCAGCTGCTGGGAAACGTGGGACCTGCTCAATCCGGTAGCTCCGATTTCTTCAACGTATTCATGGCCGAGCGCCTTGCCAGCTATTCGGCATACCGATTCCGGTGCCGGAGTGCAGGATACACCATGCTGTGTCTGGATGCCACTATTCTGTCGTCTTGGAACCGTAATATTCCCAGGCGGCTTCGACCTTGTGCTGAGGTATTACGTATATGGGATGTGTTATCCCAATTCGGTCATCTTCGTTGAATATTTGCTCGTCCTCGATATATGGCATGGCTTCCCACTCGTCAGCACCGCCAGCAGAACCAGCTGGCCGTGCAACCTTCAAAGTCCACTTGTGCTGTGCGGAACTAAGGCCGGACAGCACATAGCATGTGTGGTAAGCATCGGAGTATCTGTCAAGCAAAGAAGCCGTTAATCCTTCGAAAACCAGCATAAGCGAACGTCATCAAGGTAACTTACTTGCTCGGCTTATCTCTCAAGCCACCCCGAAGGGTCTGATCCTGGCAACAGCATAGAATATACCGAATTAGCCCGTCGCGACTGAAAAGGCTGCCAGTATCTGCGGCCTGCTGGTCTGCGGATCTGGCCTCGCCACTGCTCGGCCCGCTCAAGGCGGCCTGGATGAGCGGCCAGCATCCCCCAACCCAGTGGCTGTAACAGCCGTCCACAAGTTTGTTTGTGCGACCTGAAAAGCCGCCCTCTGGTGCATACTGGCGAGAGGAGAGCCAGGCGATGAGTCGCGGCATGTTCATGTACCTGCCGAGTAAGAATGGTTAGCTTCTGCATGTTCATCAGGCAACACAGGACGGCAGGGGGACACCTGTGACCACTTACTTCGGTATGGAACGATGCGGAGCGTCCAAGATGGACAGACACCCGAGGGCACAGAAGGCGTACGCCCCGTGTGCCTCGATTCCCGGGACGGCAGCCACGCCTCCTTCGTATGTCTGGCCTGTTAAGGAGAAGCAGGCGTACGTCAGTGGCAAGCCAAGCACGCTCAGAGATCAGGGTACTCACATCTGCCCACCCACTCTCCGAGACCGCTGAAGAGGGATTTGTGGCCGGCTGCGTATGCAAGTGAGTCGGGTGACATCTCGAGGGGAATCCCGAGCACCGAAATGAGAACTGATGCGCAATATGCGCCTCTGCAAAAAGAAAAAAAGCAGAACCCGTGTTAGTCAAACGTCTTAGCTCGTCGGCACCTCTCCGCTCAAAGAGCAACGGGAGGAGACCGAAAGGGCAGTAGGTCGCACGTACCGGACATCCTCCTCGCCTCCTACGACCATCTGGAAGCCTCCGTCAGCCTGCTTGAGCGAGCAGAGCCATTCCCACATTGCATGTCTGTCTATGACATCGTACGCCTCTTCTCCACCCACAAGCATGAGTGCCAGCACGGTGGCATAAGTCGTCGCCAGGTGAGAATCCTGGCCAAAGCCCCCTCCAAAGCCGCCACCGGGATTTTGGACGGGGCGGACAGTCTCGACCAGCCGCTCGCGGTAAGCACTCACGTCCTCTCCCAGAAGAGCCAGCGCCGCAAGAGACCAGTAGAAGAACCACGGCCGGCTGGGATCTGCAGCCGTCATCTGTGGTGGGAGCCTGCCAAGCTGCTTCTGCAGAAACTTGACGTGGCGCTGTTTGTCTAGGCGGGGGATGCCGTGCTGATTACATTTTCCTGCATGCTCCTCTCCGCTCAGAAAGGGCAGGCACTCGTCGATGGTCTCCTGCTGCAGCTGTGACGACTCAGTCTCGAGCGCGTCGATGATGGGGGGCTGCGAGGTGAAGAGGCCCGGGATACCGGCGTCACTCGCGTTGCCCGGGGGCATATCATGGTGAGACGGGCTCCGCGCGGGAAGCGACTCTGCAGCTGCAGCCATGGCCTTGATTTGATGTCGAAACAGAACTCTGGGCTGTGTTTTGTTGCGACGGGTGCGAAAGCTCATTACGTAGCGCGCGGCTGGCCCATTTCATGAAACGGACAGAAATTATGCCTGCTTGCAGCGTCGCTTTATGTATTGCCAGAGATGGGTCTGGGCTTTCGGTGGCTTCTGTCACTATTCGCCGCGCTTATGGTGTCGTTAGATTGCTTAGTATTGTAGTTGTGATGTTTGCGGCTGGCGCTAACTATTGTTCTCGGAAATTGGTCGGGTACCAATTTGTGGCCCAAGGCAGCTGACAGCCACTCGCGGGGTGAGGCACGCACGAGGATTTAGCCTCATTCGAATTAAAAGGCTATCAATCATTGGTGCTACTATCATGAGCCGCTTCACAGGCTGGCCTTTATTATTTGAGCGCCTTGATGTGGCGAGTCGCACGGTTTGTTGAGGCGGTCGCACAGACGCAGGCAGGTACCTGGCTACCCTATAAGAACAAGCCACGCAGTCTATGGAAAGAGAATTAAAATGAGAAGAGGGAAAGCAGATGAAATAAGAAAGAAAGAAGGATAGGTACATTATTAAGGTAATCGATATAATAACAATCAAGCCCAGTATCTATACATAGCTGGTGTGAGAGCTGGCACTCTGGGAGCTACCGGATATGCCGATGTATATCAGGAAGCAAAATATTTCAACCTTCTAGTAGCTTATTTAAAAGATTTACCAGAGAAATATCGAGGTCATTAAATATGAAGCTTTATTTACTCTTCTTGTCTTATCCTGTTACTATTACCCATGTTCATTTCGCTCCATTAGCAGCATACGTGACTCGCTGATATATCATGAAAGACAGCCTCAAACAACTTCCTAATTGTAGGTCTTTCCAGCAACGATAGTGCCGTCGTAGTCAACATTTGTTGTCGAGTTCTTGAGCGTGTAGTTCCCGAAGCAAGCGTACTGGTAGTTGCTGTCCTGGAACGTGTTGGCTTGACTGTCGAGGAACGCACCGAGCTCGCACAAGCCATCAAGGCGACCCTTGGTGCTGTCACCACACTTGCCGCCACGGATGGTGTTGAGCGGCACAATACCATTGTTCAGCCGCATGCGGATGAACTTGTGGGCGGCATTCTTGGCATCGTAGCCGTACTGATTCGCGGTGTACTGCACGCGACGGTTCTCCACGGGCTCCGGGTTGGCCGACGAGCAACCAATCTGCTCGGTGATGAGGTTGGCGCCAAAGGGGGTGAGGTGGGAGAGTGTGAAGTGCGCGTTGGGGTTGGGAGGATACTCGTCCAGCGTTGGGTGCTTCTTGAAGTAGTCCACCGAGAGGGCCGTCAGCGCGGAGATGATGATGTCGTCGTGGGAGAAGTCGGCATAGACTTTCTGGCCGAGAGGAAACGTCTTGCCGTTGTTGTCGTAGGTTGCGTTGACAGACGAGTTGGAGACGCTAATGTACTGGTGGTTCAGGCGGGCAATGAGCTCCTGCACGTAGCCAACACCCTGAGCGCGACCAGTCGGGTTGCCGTAGCTGTACAGGTAGTAGTACTGCAGGTCGAGGACGTTTTCAAACCCAGCCCACTCATTGGCAGTGAAGAGTTGGCAAAAGTCCGACTGGCCAATGTAGCCGTACTCGTACGCGCACGTCATCTGCATGGCGTAGATATCGTTGGAGGTGAAGTTGAAGCCAGACGGCGCATAGCCGCCGAAGCGCTTAATCGCAGGGCGGGTGTAAATCTTCTGGTACCGCTCCTGGTGGGTGGTGGCGAGGTTGCCATTGTCCTTGTTGTTGGAGTTGGTGCAGCTGTCGTACGACGCCAGCGTGTTGTTCTCGGTGCCGCCCTCGGGGATGATGACGGTGTTGAACGGCGCCTGCCAGTGCAGCAGGTCCGGGTCCGGCGTGGAGTTGAACGACGGGCCGAAGAAGCCGAGCGCCCAGTTGATCTGCGAGTTTTCGATGCGCGACTGGCCGGTGGTGCGCAGCGTCACCGGCGGCCGCGCGCTGCCGTTGCCGAAGACGCTGCTGTACTGCAGCTGCGCCGTCTCGGCGGAGAAGAGCGCGCGGCCGTAGTTGTTCCAGAAGGCGACGCCGCGGCCAAACTCGGTGCCGGCGCCGAGGCCCGTGAGCAGGCCCGTGTTGTTGAGGACGTAGTGGTAGCGGTTGAGGAAGGCGAGCGGCCCCTTGAACTGGGCGTCCTTGTGGGCGTGCTGGAAGTCGGCCACCTTTTGGGCAAAGGCGCCCGTGGTACCATTGTCCACGGAGTCGGGGAAGCGCTCCGCGTGGCGCTGGAGGGTGCTTACGGATTCCTGGAAAGGGGACCATTGTTAGCACGGGCAAAGGGGCAATTGGGTTTTGATAGAGAACGACTTACAACTTGGCAGCCATCGGGAAGGCCGACATAACCGACACCAAAGAAATCCTCCTGGTTGTCAGCGTACGAGGAGAGCTCACCCCACGATGTCGAGACGAGCTTGGCATCCGTCACAACATGGGCGGAGGCGCTGCTAGCTGCCGCAGCTAGTACAGCCACGGAGAGTGTAGTTGAGCGCATGATGGGCTGTCAAGGGACTTGGCACTTGTCGATCCGGCGTGTGGCGAATTGAGTTGCAATGGTTGGCGGTAGCTCCCATCCGGTCCCTGAGACGCGCGGGGAGCCATCATACCTTTTTAAATAAGTCCTGAGCCGCTCTGCGCGAACCCTAATTCTCCAGCGTCATTATATTTCGCAACCTTCTGCCGAACGGCGTTGATCGTCTCCTTCGTTCGGTGGCGCTATGTCGGATTGGGCTGGTTATCGAGGCACCCAGACCAAGTTGCGGATGCCGGATTGCCGGCGACTGTGACAAATGAAATCTTGTCCTATGAACATGCGCTTCCGCTCCCACGGTCCTCTTGGGAATCGGGATGGACGAGGCCCGGGTGTGGCTTCCACCTGCGCGCATTATATTGCATTCGGTGGCTGAACGTCCAGCTTCATGCACCGGGAGTATTATCACAGAGAGGCTGTTACTCCGTGTTTTGAGTGGAATGGTCTTTGCTAATTGTTATCAATCCTTCTCTCCTCTTTCCACGGGCAGGGAGATAAAATAACTACATAGAAGCAAGACCCTCTATGCAGGTCCCGATCAGAACCGCCCATCTGAGACATTCTAGAAGCAGTCTAATTCGTGTAACTAGGGTTTACAGACACGTAAAACTAGGCTGAAAATGGCTGAAAGAAATAATTCAACTACTGAACTAGTTAAGTCTTTCGTCTGTCATCCATTGAAACCAAGCCTCTCTCTAGCGTTGAGGCTAATTAAGGGCTTTTCACTAGACTAGATCCAGGCCGTCCGTCTTACCTCCTATTTGCTCACTGAAGCTCAGTTTCCCATTTACGAACCCGCCAATCTTTTACCAACGTTGCTGTTGCCAAATCGCGATGGCTTTGCCAGTAAATGTGTGTTGTGACGGTACCAGGCAAATGTCAGTTGCCACTTCGCTATACGAGGTCAATTGAACCCCAAAAGTATACACAAGCAATAATGGCCTTATTTTGGCCGACAAAAGTCCTCAGTTTGCCTCGGTCTGCAAACAAGGCTGCTTCCCCGCCAAATCCGTCTGCGTCTGCGGCCGCAGCCTGAAATATCGCCCCTTTGAAATCAAATTTTGCAAAGCCTCGCTTCCCAAACCTCTCGAATAGCGCCAGGTCTTTCCCACACGTGGCCTTGCATCTCCATTGCAAAGCAATATAGGCGCGCCCGCCACTGACAGCGGTGCCATCACGCCATCACGGTACCCGCGTGTTGTTGGGATCAGACCAGGAAATTAATGAGAAGGACGATAAACATCAAAATCAGCCAAGACGAGTCAGAATCACCATTTGTTTCCCCGCATACCGTTGAGGGACTTTTCTCGTGTGTTTTTTACGCGGTCTCACGACCGCCGCGCCCACCGCCCGACCTCATCGCGCTCCACGAACAGAGGACACTCCCAACAACAAACACATGTTCCCTCAAAAGAGCACGAGCTGTGTCGCAACTTTGACAACCGTTGTCGCGGATCAATCTAAAACCAAACCCTCAGCGATGTCGGCTGGTGCGGAACTGCCTAGTATGTTTTCGTTCAGCAGGGCCTCTGACGTTTGTTCTGTATTCTGATGTTGCAATAGCCGGCTGGCGTCATGCGCGCTCGTCTTGGTTTTTGGACAAGCATACTCCTTGTACTGTGCATGTCTCGCTATTACTATCAGACTGGCCCCCCCATCGCTGACGGGCGCTCCCATGATAGTAGCCTTGCCCGTACAGCATCACTCAAGCACCGACCAATCTACTAAGCCTTGTCAAGCGGCATTGAGAGCCTGGCTCTCGCTTTGGGGCCCGTCATCAGCGGTGCAATTGCTCATGCGTCGAATTGGGGATGTGCTTCTACGTCATCATCCTCGTCGGTGTTGGCCATGTGCATGCCGGCCATGGTCTGGAATCTTCAGACTTCAGTAGGAGCTGACGGATTATTCAGGTGTTGATCTTCTCCCGAATTCTCTCCTTTCTGTTCCTTATTCAAGAGCGGCGTCCTGGCGATGATGGCATGTTTCCTCTCGGCATGCTCTGATAGGGAACGGTCGCCCTTTCTAGTGCTTACACGTTCTGCACCTTGCAGCGCGTATCGTCGTGGCCTGTTCTGTTTGTACAGGACCTTCTTTTGGAATTCTCAATGCGTCGACTGAGTATCTGCATAGTTCCGACTTACTCCCCAGTTGTTCGCGGGCAGACAACTGTTGGCGCAGGTCACTGGTACCTTTCAACAGCGCTGTCCTTTGCCCTCCTCGCTTGATCTGTGGCCAAGTTTCTCTGGCCATATTTCTCGCCGGTTCCGCAACAAGTATTGTTGGTCATTAAACCCTGATAATAACTCTTGGCAGTATTCTAAAAGCACTTGCTGCCGCGCTCATCGCCATATTCAAGCCAGACACGACCACAGCCTTCTGGATCGGCATACGGGCCGGCTGCGGTCTCTCGCCTTCCAGTAGCCGTACAAGGCCATTCGAGATACCGTCTCTGAGCCACAGGTTCCAATGGCTCTCTCGTGTCGCTTAACGTTACGGAAGAGATCGGCGGCATTGTGGCGCTGTCTACCTCGCACGGTGTTGTTTCCTTCGCCATACAGCAAAACAAGTGCCTGGCTTTGGAACCCGTTATCTCTTAATGAATAGCATCCTGAGTATAGTCAATTGCTGTTCAGAAGAACTGCGCCCGGCTATGATTGAGGAATATAATGCCGCTCTTGTGAATGCATTCTGCATCACACTAGGACTCCCGTGCTCGAGAGTCATTGCATCACTGCTTTGCGAGTGGAAAGACTTGTCAACCCTAATAGAGAAAGTGTAGACTGAGGTGTGACTGTTGGTTGTATGGCGCTACTTGCAATATTCGTCTGCTGTGTTTCATCTCATCCCTCACGACGTCTAATGTAACCGGCTTACGAGAGTTGAGCAGATATTGCTAGATTTGACAATGTAGCCCCGATATGAGCCAGTGGCTACTATCAGTACTTCAAAAGTACTTATTTTTACAATTTCAACTCTCCCGAGGTCTGATTCGTCAGGTTGCTACAGTATATCTTTAACATTTGTACGACCATCCACGTCTAGTTGCCGAGATCATCACACATTACCCTTTGGCTCCACCACTTTAAATTCTACAACGTCCTTCCGGCACACGTCGGAAATTATACACTCTCAGGTAATAAACGAGGACTAGTTTTCGCCTCACGGATGAGTATCGAACAAAGGTGCTGATAAAAGCGGTCAAAGGCTCTCCGTACCCTGGACCTGAATCAGGGCCGCTGCAGATGTCCGTCAAGATGTGCGGGGCCGCCCCCGCTGCCCGCAACTGGCAAGCATCAGCACGGCAAACATTTCTCCAGTGGCAGAGAGGAAGAATCGAACAAGGAAAAGGCGGCCAATGGATGCTGATTCAATCTCTGTCGATTAGCGCCGAGGCACTGCACCTTGAGCGGCAAAGGTCAAGGTGCAGATATATTCCGGTCTTATCCATTGGCGAGGGGAGGACGGGCCTGGCATATCGACGGGCTGGCCTCGCCTGCATGAGAGAACCATGACTTGCAGCAGCAGCAGAAGCGGTAAAACAAGATAGCTTGGCGCAAAGCTGAAACGGGTGACGCCCCAGCAATACGCATTCCCTTGATCAGACTACGGGCGCGCGGGAGCAAGGAACAGCCCATGCATCTGCAGCATGCAATGCACGGTGAGCTGGCGCGGATGTGAGGGAGCCTGAAGCAGCCGTGGGCGCTGGCGTTGGGCACTCGAGCTTCACGTCTGGACTCCCTATTTGGCTCATTACTCACAGCAGCTGGCGGCCCAACCTGGGGCAAGGCGATTGAGATGATGAGCGAGTCTGCTCGAGGGGAGCAGGTCGTCATGACCCCGCCGGTCCGTGTCGGACAGAAGAGCGCATGGAGATGGCCTTGCATTCCAAGGCCCAGTGCGTGGCTGAATTGAGTATGTGCAACGGAATTACGAACTGTGTGCTACGATCAAGAGGTGGGACAATGGCGACACAAACCGTCACGCGAGGGAAAGAGGAATAGGAATCACGTCGGCAGTGCAAAGCTGTGCAAAGCATGGGACTTTTGTCTCTCGTCATACAAGCAAGCAGGCTTGGGGGAATCGCAAAGCCGTTGCAGGTGTACATATCCGTACTCCGTAATCCGTACTCCGTACAGAGTACTGTACTTCCGATGGCGGCCGGCGTGCTGCGTTCTGCACGTGGGAAAAGAGGATCTCTAGATGACAGGAGATAAACGGCTTTTTGCGCCCTCGTCAAACAGTTGACACAGTTGACGAAGCGGCCACAATGAAAAAAGAAAACATAAAACATGCGGTTCGCGAATGGCGGATAAAAAGCAAAGGTAAACAGAGCGAACGGCACCTCCTGGGCAGCCTCGTGTCCTTTTGGTGAGCAAGTGGGCGATCTTCAACCGAACTGAGACAGTGGTCAGCGAAAAGCGACGGAAGACATGGGGTAACTAGTCATTACTACTCGTCAAGATGTGTGCTTTATAAACCCGGCATGTACGGATACGGAATGGGATAGGGAAGCAGCATGAAGACTGCCAAACTGCATCATCAAGACGGGTACTCCGTACTCTGTACGGATAGGTACATTGAGGAGAGGGCCGTGATCGAATGAGTAGAGAGTCGTGTAGGACATAACAGAAATGGTCTCAGCCATCTATTTTTTTGCTTCTTTATGACTGGGCGCGGGCGCTGGCAACTCCTGGGTGGGTGGCTGGACCGGGCTGACCAAGGCACAATGCGATTGGCAAGTGGGCGCAGATGCTCTCAGTTGGATGCAACATGGAGAAGCCAGCTGGAAGATGCAAGAAAGAGGCGCACTAGTTGACGTAGCAGCCTCTCATCGGCGAATGGTGTCGTGACTACCAAGTGGGCAAGGCTAAAATCGGGCATTGCCTAGCAATTTGGTGATATACCGATATACCAAAGCAAGGCACCGCCGCGGAAAATGTATTCTGCAGCCGAGGCGATTTGATTGATGTATCAGAAAGGAAGCCGAGAGGGACGGAGATCTGGCATCACCAACGAGGCAGCACACACCCGCCACAGTAACTAGCCACCTTCGCTACACCACGGCAGCGCCATGTGCCACAACATATTTGCGCAAGCCGGCGCGGGCCTTTGCGTGGTCGGAGAGCCGGGATGAGGACGAAATCAAGTGGCTGGCCGTTGAAGCAGGCTGGAACATCACAAGGGTCTTGTGCGCACCACCATGAACTAGAGGGAGGAGGGCGCCAGGGCTGGCTCGGGCTGAGCCCAAATTGCCAACGCACCAGATAATCACCAGATGCTATTTTTGCAGCCGTCCGTCATGTGGATGTGCAAGGAATGCCTGACTGGCAAAGATTGAATACGGTTAACTAGTCCGTCTCATGATTGCCCAGCATCTGGCTAGCTGTTCCTGGTGCACCGCAGCGACCAACGTCTCCTGCACATCAGATAACTATCAGCTGCTGCGCGTAATCAGAGCCAAAAGACGACTCTGTTGTTGGACAGAGTAAAAGTAGCTGGTGGCGAAGCAGTGGTGGACTATCCGTAGTAGATCGCCCCCTTTTCTCTGGATATCATTTGTGCTCTGTGTTACTAGAGCACGGTATCCGTAGTGTTGTATTCTTCTTATCCTTGTTGAACTTCGTACTGTAATACGTACCGGAACCTGGCAGGGTACGGATCGGCCGAGTTCTTGGGTTGAATTGCTCCATAATCCCATGTAGGCACCTGGCCATCTGAGCATCTGAGTCGGACAGTTACCAGTGGCAGACAGTGCACGATCACTAGGGTGCACTGGCCAGTGCAACTGGCACACCCTTTTTACCTGCTATTATTAATTAGTCTTTGGGATTGTGCCCATACCACGAATAATTCGTACTGGTCAGCAGAATAGAGCAGACTGCTCTTGTGGTACGGGGCGAGTTCCGCCATCGGCCAGACAATATGGTATGTATTGCGCCGGAGCATCTTGGCTCGAACAATCGAGGGACGAACGGGCGTACTGGTAACTAGAGTTGCACGCTGGGCGCTGCGGGCCCTGGATCTATAATAGTTTGCAGGCCGTACGGAGTACCTGTCGGTCGTCGATAGGAGACAGGCTTGGCTAGTTACATTGTTTGAGGCTGCCGAACGTGACAAGGCTGTTGTCAAGTACGATGTAGTAGAGGCTGGGTATTTTGGCCAAAAGGAAAGCTTTGTCACGCGGACTCGCTTATTGCTTTTGTCTGAGCGTTTGGGACACTTGAGTAATTTGTCAGTCCTCTTCAAATAAGCTGTACACGTACCTCCTCGGCATAACTGGTATGGCTCCTCTCGTTCTGGCAACATAACTAGTTAGGCGCTGGCATGACAGGTGGCAAGTGGTGTGACGGATGGGACCGGCAACAGGGTTGATGCCAGCTCGTTGCACTCTCGCCAAGAGCGATAGTGTTGCCGTGTATCAAACGTATCGGGCGTGGAGCTCTGGATGGATATCAAGCGATACTGGTTGCTGGTAAGTCGTGGCAACGAGGCGTTGCGAGGCAGTGGAGGGAATGCAACCTACTCTAATAATTGTCGGTACTCGGGATACTGGGGTGGGCAAGTGATGAAAGTGACCCCCGTAATAGCATCTCGTCGCCAAACCGGAACCTGGGAAGGAACGGTAGGGGAAGATGGTAGTTGTACACGAGATGCATGTGCGGAAGAGGGGAGCGAAGATGTACATGATACAATCCATAGCTGGTTGAACGGATCGGCTCATGTGCTTGATCAGTCCTCGACATGGCTGGCAAGCGGGCGGTGGGCGTCTGGTGCCAACGGAACTGCAGAGAGGGGTCCCCACTCGGCAAGCAGCGGGCGACGGAAGGTACCTACGGAGCCTGCAGGAGCAAAGTATCTGGCTCACTAAACAATGGCTACGAGATACCTGCGGGGGCTTCAAACGTATGGTCAACTGTGTCTGCCCCAGTGGCTCTTCTCCTAGATCGCCGCAGCCCTCAGCGGCCCACCCACCTGCAGCTGCTGCTGGCGCAGGCGGACGGCCCCTATTGGTTCCGGGCAGGACACGCCGGGGCTGGGTGAAGCTCACCGCTTCTTTGACGACCATGGGTCCAAGGTGCCTCTTTTTCATGCTCCCATGCTCCCACGCTCCAGGTTGTTCTTGATCCAGAGGGAAAGCTTCAAACAATCCATACGAATTGTAGACGTCTGGGAGCTAGTTTCGCGCACAGGACCGCCCGCTCAACTGCTGTCACGCAGCAATTCCTATTCACTGTAGCACGGTTGGGTACCACAAAACACCACCACTGACCACTGACCACTCACTATTGACCACCACTGCGCGGTGCGCGCACGGAAAAGGTACTTCGACTGGAAACCTGCAACCCCTCCCCGCTGCACCACCGGTTTTATCGTGCATGTACCTCAATAGCCCGCCGAATACCTTACCTCCCGCCGCCCACCGCCGCCACCAAAAACCCTCGTCGCCAAAACCCACTCGTCGCCTCTTCTTCCTCCCCGGCCCTGGTCCCTTCTCTCTCCCCGGCCCTGCAACTAGAAATCTCTATCTTACACCATACCCAACAAGTCTATCGTGGGTGAAAGAGCGGTGTCATCCGCTGCTCTCTCAAACTTTCAACACCGCTTAGGTTTTTTCGCTTCTCATATGCTCCTCGGGGTTCCTTTTATCCCCTTCTTTCACAATGACCCTCGACTTCAATTCGAATGGCGGGGGAGATGCCTTGCTCGCCTTGAACTTTGATCCTCACAACCACCATTCGCAACAACATCAGCAACAACGACATCATCACGCCCAAGCCGAAGCCCACGCTCACGTACACGCACACGCCCACGCCCACGCACACGCACACGCTCAAGTACAAGCTCAAACTCAAGTATACGGATACGCAACATCGACTTCGCAGCCTGCTTCTGCCGCCGCCGCCTCCTTCATCCCTCACCCGCGAATCTGGCCCATCCCAATCGATATGGTCTCTTCCAGCAGCCCGCCCTGTGCGGCCTCCAGCTCGCCCGAGGATCATCACACACACTCGCCGCATTCTCACGCCTCCAGTCCCAACAGCCACCACTCGCCCATGCAGAGTCCGCCGTTCCACCATGCTGTCAATCCTCTGACCGACTGGGCCCTTCAGCAGCAGCAACAGCAGGTCGCGGCCGCCGCCCCTCACGATCATCACGATCTCGGCCAGATCGACCTCTCGCAGTTCATCCAAGACCCCTCGCTCCTCAACTTCACTGGCCTTCCTCCAGCTTTTGCTACGAACCCCATGGACTACTTGCCCGCTACCACGCAGGCCGCCATTCAGCAAGCCAGCCTCCTGGATTCTACTTTCCACTCCATGCCTCCTATGGATGCCACAACACACGCCATGCACTGGGGTAGTACAGGAATGGAAAACTGGCAAGAGTTCCAGAACACTCTACAGATGGATAGCCTCGCTAGAATGGACAGTGTCGGCAGTAACTCACCAACTGGCACATACCTGGAAGTCCTATCCCTGCCTTCCTCGTCTGGCGATGGCTGGGCCATGGTTGACTGGGGACACGGACAGCATAACGTCGAACCATTCCCGCAAACATCCAATAATGCCACTGCTATTTTCAACCCGTCACAAACCCTTCACCTCCGCACAAACTCGGATTCTTCAGATGGCGCCAATTCCCTAGACTTCAACAGTTTCGAGGAAATTGCACCCTTCCCTTACTCACCCTTCTCACCTGAGTCCGATGGCCACGGCGATGCCCACAACCATCGCAACTGCTTCTCTGGCGAGAGCCACCACACACATTCTCATGAGAGCGTCTCGCCAAAGGCGGTCACTGCCGCCGTTCCTATCAAGACAGAGAGCTCGGTGGTCATCAAGACCGAGGCATCTACCCGTCACAGCCCAGGTAGCGGTGCTGGCGCCGGCGCCACTACGCCGCCATCTGCGTCAGCTTCTTCCTCGCGCAGAAACTCTGGGCCTCGCAAGAGCCCCATTGCCAAGCCCCCCAAGCCTACTGTGCGTAGAATATCTACTGGCAAAAAGGATGGCACTGGCGAGAAGAAGGTTGGCCGAAGAAAGGGCCCCCTCCGTCCTGACCAGCGCAAGCAGGCCAGCGAAATCCGAAAGCTTCGCGCCTGTCTACGTTGCAAGTTTCTGAAGAAAACTTGTGACAAAGGGGAGCCTTGTGGTGGATGCCAGCCTTCACATGCTCGCCTATGGCAAGTCCCTTGCACTCGCATTGATATCAAGGACATTGGTTACTTCATGAAGGACTGGAAGGCCGACCACGAGAGCCACATGACCAGTGGGTTGTCCACCTACAGTGTCAAGGGTTTTGCCGCCAAGGAGAGCCTCATGTGGATCACTCACGGTTACGGTTTTGCCCTGCCCATCATGGTCCGCGAAGTCTTTGTAACTGAAGATAGCAGCCTCGCCATCGAGTGGCGAGAGGCACCTAGCGTCAATGAAGGCTCCCACGACTTCGAGATCCTCAGTGAGAAGCTGGATATCGGCGCCGAGGGTGTCAACAACGCCGCACTGTCTGAGTACCTGGACAAGCATATCGAGGGTCCCTTTGAGGACTTCATTGACGATCACTTTGATGGCACCCCCTTCATCACGGAGATCCTCAAGACGGCGCACCGCTACTATGCCAAGGAAAAGATGCCTGTCATTGGCAAGGCTCTCAAGCTCGTTCTCGCCTACAACCTTACTATGCACATCACCATGGTGGAGAACCAGGGCTCCGAGGTCCAGGTCGACAGTCAGATCGAGGATGCCGAGTCCAAGTACTACGGCCGCACTGTCGCCCCAGTCATGATCAACTTCCAGATCAAGTATGCTCTCGCTGAGATGTGGCGCGAGCTGCAAAAGGATATCCTCGAGGAGCTCTCTTCGCTCTACTCTGGCGTGTACAGTGGCGAGAAGATGAAGAATTGGCCCACCATTTTCATGCTAGCTTCCATTCTGCTTGCCGTGTGGGAGGAGATGCAGTTTGACTGCCACTACCGCGTCCCCGACCAGGCGGCGGTGAACAAGTTTTGCACAGACATGGAGACGACCCCCGTTGGAGTCATTGTGGGCCTCTTCCACGCCATCTCCCAAAAGCTTCCCGCTTTCACTGAATGGGACACGGCCCAGCACGGCGGGCTACTTCACAACAATGTATCTGTCTGTGAGGCCATGACCGAGGTCCGCCAGCACGTGGTCAAGCACGGTATGTTACTCAAGCATTTACTTGATCCCATCAGTTTTACTTGATCCCATCAGTCCTTTACTAACATTCGTACAGAGGCATATTTGCGTACACGCAAGGAAGATGCCAGCTTCGACCCGACTGACTTTGACTCGCTATCAAACAAGTTTCTATCCAAGCTTGTTATCAAGGCCAACTAGATGGCAGCCCAAACCCTACCGCTATCTGTGGCGACGAATTTCCTTTGTTTTCTCTTTGCACAACTCTCTAGCGATGGCGTTGCTTTTTTCTCAACCAAGCGATTGATGACCACTTTCTTGAACCGCGGCTACTTGAGAACCGACAGTACTGCTATTTGCTCCACTCTTACTCTACTTCTTTTCTCGAGACGGCCACGACGACTATAGTTGCAAGACGTTTTTCTGCGATGTTATGAACCAACACGTTGACGTAACGGCCTCGACACGATTTTTACCCTTTCTACGAATGTATGACTTGAAGAAGACGACATCATTTATTATTTTTTTTGCATCAAAGCTTATCATTTTGGAGACACGAATCTACGCAAACAGCTGCTGCTGGACGGATGGGACAATTTTTTTTGCATCTCGAGGCATTTACGGATGGGAGGCGGGAATGGATATATTACATGATGGATGATATATGCACCCGGGACTAGGCATTTTCAATGCAATTGACACTGTCCCTTATAACATGCACCGCTTGTCCGTGATATGACGTATTTGAATTTGGCTGCTCTTTTTCGACGTCATTTCTATCTTGTTCTTTTGTGATCTTATCCGTCATCTTTATATTTATTCTCCTTCATCCGCCTTCTTTCCAGATCGTTACCACTCAAACAGTACATCTTCTTCAGCGCTGTAGTATCAGCTGCTTTGACACTGTGGCTATTTTCTTGTCACTTGAAGGAACTGCTCAATGCTCTAGGTTTCATCTTCACTGCTCCATCCATGTGTCCACTTTATAGGCTGCATCGTCCCCGCTCCTTTACCTTCATCGTCTGCAATAACGCCGGTGATACAAGTAGTTCTATAGTTACAACAAAGGGCATGGGAGATGCTGACAGTCACAATCTAGCGTTGAACACTTGTGTAAGTGCATGAGGGCAGCGAATTACTTGCTGCTGAGTCAGGGCCTATACGCCCGGGAGTCAATATGTCTGGTGGGCGATGCGTTGGAGGGGCTCGGGCGTTGCGTCACAGGCGTCGTCTCGTAACACCGAATCAGATGACGTTGCCACTTTTTCTCGTCCCTCGGCCCTTTGGCCTGAGGGGGGATCGCGGCGCTATCATCGGCAACCCCGCACCTTGTCCTTTGTTCACAGCCCAGCTAGGTAACTTGCCTGGAGCGCGAAAGCAGTAATGACGCGGATTGGAATCCCACAAGGGGAAAAACGTATGGGATTGTTGCCGGGGCCCTTTTAGCTCCTGGTGGCGAGGGCAACGAATCAAAGTTTGGTACCTGGACATTGGCTAATTATGGCGGTTAGTTAGGTTGGCTGTACGTAGTCTAGGTAGTTTGTGGCGCAGGCTTCAACCCAGAGCATATGTCCCGTAGGAACAAACGGACGTACGCGTGTTTGTGCCGTGAATGCACCCAATTACCAGCGTAGAAGCTGCTTGCGCGTCGGCCGAGCAAACCAAAGCTTTCTCAGTTCTTTGACTCTATCTACTTCGTTCGGAATGGGCTATTTTATTCATTGCGCTGGTTGATTCACTGGCCGTCGGCGTTGGACAAGGCGGCATCCCAATTCCCTTCCAGCTACTAAACTAGTAAGGTATGTGGCTCAGTGGCAACACTGGGACCCACCGCAAACGGCGTTTGCTCAGGTCAACGGTACTTGCTGTATCGCCCTCTTTGCTAGGGAGGCAGCTGTACCAGAAACCTCACAGCCACCCACGGGACCGATAACATAACGTGTCACCAGCCTCGCTGTTCTGGAGCCTTCGGTGACCGCCTGCCTAGAAACAACAATGCCCAGCGATAGCGCCTTCGCTGATGAATCATGCGCCTGCGGTTTCGTAGGCTGCACTGCCCCGCCACTTCTCCAGGTGCCCTCCTCCCTCGCCGCTCGTTCTTTAAATCCGTTTGCTCTCCCCTCTCGCACCCGGCCTCTTCTCTTTTCCATCACCACCTACGATTTTCATAATCATCCCGCACTCTCTGCGTCCCCACCCGTTCAGCCTTCCCAACAACAACAACACATTCGAACTGACATTGCACCCGCTCCGTCACCATGCAAATCTTCGTCAAAACCCGTAAGTTAACTGCTACCGTCGTTGGCGTCCCCCGCGACTAACGCCACCTCCAGTCACCGGCAAGACCATCACTCTTGAGGTCGAGTCTTCCGATACCATCGACAACGTAAAGTCCAAGATTCAGGACAAGGAAGGCATTCCCCCCGACCAGCAGCGTCTGATTTTTGCTGGCAAGCAGCTCGAGGATGGCCGCACTCTTTCCGACTACAACATCCAGAAAGAGTCCACCCTCCATCTCGTCCTCCGCCTTCGTGGTGGTATGCAGATCTTTGT